GGCGCGGGCAGAGCGGGACGGGCCCGCAGTGGGGGACTCACCGTGAGGGTGTCATCGATGTACAGGGGGATCTGCCTCTTCTCGAAGGGGAACTCCTCCTCGCCGTCCCGGCACACCGCCACCAGCCGCGCCATCGCTGCTGCTGCTGCTGCCGCTTCCTCCCCGCTCCAGCCTGCGGGCGGCCCCGGCCGGAGGTAAACACCCGCCGCGCTTCCCCGCCACACTTTCACCAGCAGCCGGCACCCAGCCTGCGCTCCCCATCGCCTGATTCACCACGGCGAGCCCGGCCCACCCACCCCGCCGCGAGGGACCCGCGCGGGCCGGCAACGGGCCGGGAATGCGGCAGCGCACGGGGGGGATGGAGACCTCGGGGAGAGGGGGATGTGGAGATCCCAGTGCGGAGATGGGAGATCCGAGTGGGGATGGAGATGGGAGAGAGATGGAACCCGCGGGGGAAAATGGAGCCGCCACGGGGAGATGGAGCCGCCGCCCCCCGCCCGCCACCGGCCCAGCGCGGCCGCCGGGACCCGCCCAGCCCGGCGCGGCTCTGCGGCTCCTCCGCCGCCCCCGGCCCAGCGCGGGGGGAGCCTCCGCCTTGCCCAGCGCTGCCCCGGGCTCCCCGCGGAGCGGCTCCAGCGCCCGCCCCGCCGCCTCCCCGCGGGCTGCAGCCCGGCTCGCCCCGGCAGACCCACCCCTTCCTCCCGCTGCTGCGCGGCCTCGCCCGGCTCCCCACGCGGGGCTGCGATTACGGGGAGCAACCCTATGTGGCGAGGGGGACCCTATGCTACCTGCCCTACCCTCACCACCCCCCCTATTCCTTCCCAGCAGCGCTGCCCCGCGGCCGAGCGGGCCCTTACCGGCTGCTGGCGGCGCTGGGCGGCCCGGGCGCTGTGACAGGCGGGCGGCACCGCGGGTCCGGAGCCGCCTCCTCCCTGCCCGCCCCGGGGCCGCCCCGCCCCGCTCTCGCGAGAGCCGCGGGCACCGCCCGGACCCGCCCCGGGCACCGGCCTGGCCTTGGGGCCTCAGGGCCGCGCGGCAGCGATTGGGGCCGTGCCCGGGAACGGCCCCCGGTGGGCTCGGGAACGGCCCCGGTGGGCTCGGGAACGGCCCTCGGGCCCGGCCGTTGGCCCAGGGGCGTTGGGGGGTTACAACGAGCGGGGCCGGGCCGGGCGTTAGCGCGGGTAACAGTAGCACGGGCTGATAAAAACGCGTATGAACTCAACGCTCTGAGGCACGGGGAAAGGGAGGGGACTCTGAGGGTGTCCTGTGCAGGGATAAGCGTTGGACTCGATGTCCTTGGGGCTCGCGGAATTCTCCGCCTCAGACGCTGCCCCGGCATCAGACACGGCTCAGCCCTCGGTGCGCTGGTGCCGAGCCAGGCAGGGCAGGATTTAACAGCTCTGCTTGGCGCCTGCAGCGCCCCAGTGCAGCCAGCTCGAAATCCTGTGGCTGCCTAAATTAAGCAGCCCAAAGAAAAAAAAAAAAAAAAAAAAAAACAAAACAACGAAGCCAAAGTCTTTCTTGAACTACTGAATAATACAGCTGACCTGTTCGTTCTTGTTGTGTATGGATATAGGCACTAAAGCCCTCACAAGAAAATGCAGGGGGTGTAATTAACGAGCAGAATTATTTCTTATTTTTTTCTTGTGTTTGCACGAAAAACGATGTTTAGTGGAAGAGTTAATTCACTCGAGCTCCTTGTTACAGCAGCTGTAACGGGAACATGTGGAGTGACAGTGCTGCACGGTTTGCAGTCGATGTTCTCATGGTTTGCAGCAGCAAAGCTGGGGCTTTGTACCGAAGGATAGTTTGTCACACCAGAGCACTCTGAACCATGAATTTAGGTCTTTGCAGGATCACATCAACAGCATTGTCCCAGGTTTTGTATTCCGGGAGTGCACATTGATACGAAAAGCACCATTATATCCATACAATTTTTATCCGTGGATTTTTATTTATTTTTTTTTTTAAGTCGCTGGAACACGCGGCTTGTTTGTTATCTCCCAGCGCGGTGGAAAGGCAGCCAGCCCCTTCCTGCGCTCATTTGCATGGCCCTCTTTGCCTGGAAGAAATACCTGTTCTCTGGGACAGCGTGGCTTTGAAATAGGATACTGCCTAGAATCTTCGGGGTAACATCTGACTTCAAAAGAGACACCACTGCAGTTGGGAGAGGAGGCATGCTAGAGTTGATCTTTCAAAATAATGAGATGTGTTCAAAAGTTAGTGATGTTTAATAAAAGGTTAAAGATAAATGTAATCAGCTCTACTCTCCCACCATATCCCAGCATTTTTCTACCCTGCAGCCCTACAAAAAGGCCATTTGGTGGAATTATGGCAACAAAAGCAAAACAATTTGTGTTTTCCTCAGCTTTACTGTTCTTGAAGTAGGTGACACATTATGGTTGAGCCATTAAGTCTTCCTGCTTGAAATATCTTGAACTTTTATTCATTATGTAACAACTAAATAAAAGTTTCTGATTTTTAAAAATACACCTTCAATCTGTACAAAGGGTTCTTTGTCTAACACAGTCCTGAGTGAAGTGAAATGCAGAGTTCCTTCCAGCCACCCAGCCAAAGCTGTGGAGGTGTGTGGAGAACAGCAGTGTCCTGGTGTTCCCTTTTCACATCTTTTCAAACCCCAGCAGAGCTGTTTGCTCGTCCTGTGATCAAAGGATGCTCCCTTGCATCTCTGGGTTCTTTCAGAGGCCTGGGCAATTATCTTGTGTTCATAGGCTGAACACTCAGCATTCATAACTACACCAGTTGCTTCAGGGCAGAGCTTGCTGCATTTGTTATCGACAACAAGCAATGGGAATGGTCTCTCATTAATTCACTGGTGAACAGCTCACAGAATCCCACAATCATTTAGGTTGGAAAAGACCTCTGAGATCATCAAGCCGAACCTGTGAGTGATCCACACTTTGTGAACCAGCCCAGAGCACTGAGTGCCACATCCAGTCATTCCTTGGACACCTTCCAGTGCCTGACCACACTTTCCATGGAGAAATTCCTCCTGATGTCCAGCCAGGCCCTCCCCTGGTGCAGCTTGAGGCCATGTCCTTTCTTTCTGGGAGAAGAGACCAAACCCACCTGGCTCCAACCTCTGATTTACTCTTCAGGGCCTTACAAGCAGGAGAAGTCTCAGGATGTTGTGAGAGGATTGTTCTCACTCCGGTGCACACAATCCCCTGGGTTTGCTGCTGTTGTGACAACCACAGCTGCAGCCCCGGAACTGGCACCACCAGCCCGAGTGGAGCTCGCCCACCAGACCTCCCACGTCCTCCCTGCTTCACCCAGTGCAGTTGGCACCTGGATGCCCCGTGCTTGTCCAGGCACAGCTCTGCCAGTCACACCCAATTCGTTCTGAACCACACCGACAGGCTTGTGCTCACAGGCAGAACTCCCTGCAGGTCCAGGGCTTTAAACATTTCAAAAATAAATATCCATGAGTAATTTTGCATAAATAAGTAGTGCCAGTCCGTTCACGAGGGAGACCTTTCTTCCCTAGGCAAGTCTAGGAAGTGATTTAAAATAAACACATCCACCAGTTACCAGAAAACTCTGTTATAAACTGACAAGTGTTTCTAAGAGGTTGTTGCCAGTTCTTACATTTGTCCCCAGGATAATACAGGCTGGTTTGCTATAATTCTCAAGACGACATGGCTTTAAAGTTGGAAGCAAACAAGCATGAACTCAGCGTGGCCACAGCCTGTAATCCTCAGACTTCACCTTTCTGCTGGCCAGGGGCTTGGAGAAACTCATAAATTTATGACTCTTGCACAGCATGTGTGTCCTAAGGAATCTAATTTAGAGGCTTATTCTCCAAAGGTTTGCTGATTCATCACTTGTGATAGACAAGGAGAAATATGAAATATGGCCCGTGTGTACTGCTGTAACTCCACTGACATTGGACATCTATCATCAGCTACCATTGGTATTCTACTCCTAAAGTATTTATATCCCATTATTGAATTCCTCACAACCTTTAAGTGTATTTCTCTTCCCAACGACTTTATGAGGTCAGGAAGAACTGTCACAGTCAGGAAAGGGAACAGAGAGGGTGTTCTGCTCTGGCCTTGCAGGGAAGACTGAGAAACTGAGCAGTTTCCTTCTCAAGCCATTGCCAGAACCCTCACCCACTGCACTGCACTGCACTGCACTTCTTTCCATCTGCACCTTGTTTGTTTGCTAATAAAAATTAATACCAAATGTCCCCCCTTGGGGACATCACAGCTGGCAAAGTACATTATTCAGTGTGCTGGTCTGCAGGTTGGAGCTGAATTCGTTTGGTATCTCTGTATTTTCTTACAAAGTCTTGATCTTATTATCTGCACCACAACCTCCAACAACTGCTTTATGAATTCATCTGCAGTTGAGTTTATCCTTCAGAGCATCTCACTTGATCTCAGGTCTTCATTTATATTCATCAGTGGGGACGGAAGTAAAATCTAGCTTTAATTCAAAGGCTAATTTAGGTTTCAGTATATGATTAACACTCCACAATTACTACCATCAAAGTCAAGCATATGCATAAATCTCTGCAGGACTGGGGCCAAAACATTTTCAAGTATCCACTTATTCAATAATTTTATATAAAGAATTATTCTTATCTATTATTTATGCAAGGGCCTTAACTAGGTAAATCTTGACACAGCTAGGCCTCTCTCCCCATATAATTACTCGTCTTCTTTTCATCTGGTTTCTATTCTACCTTGTTATCTAATTCCTTGGGTATGAGCACAGTTCACTAACTGTAAATACAATTTACTCTCAGGAGCAGCAGGAATATTCAGCAATCTCCAAACTTAAGTTTTCAGGATAATATGCAACAGCTCCCAACAGGTAAGATCATCAACTGTATAATTTGGTAAAATGAACCATTAAAAAGTAATCAACACTAAATAATAAAAAGCTCTGCTAAACTATAAATTATTGCAACACATCCAGGAAAAATACTATTTTTTCCATTAAATACCATAATTCAAGTACAGCAAACAAAGTCCAGCTAGTCCACTCAGCCAAAGTGGAATCACCAAAACTTTAATACTATATTCCTGGCATGCAATATATACATAATTAAACAGTTAAAAAACATGTACAAGTGCAGTATGCATAATGTAAAGGCAGCCTTGCTGTGGATTGTGTCTATCAGGATGTTCACAGCACCAGTCATAACATTGGCTAGCAAGAAAAACAGTAATTGATTTTTGTTAATAGCACTGATCAGGCATAGCTGTGACAGCTTGTCTTGCCTTCCCACTGTCACAGCCTCCATTCCTTGCTTTTTCCTGGAATCTGGGGGCTGCACAACCTTCCAGCAGCAGGACACACTGGAGCCCTTGACCAGCAGCTTTGTGAACACCAGGGCGAGGTCAGTGAGCACAAAAAAGCCCAGCAGCAGCAGGCAGAGGGCGAGCACCCATGTGCAGAAGGGCAGGTTGGCCATGCGGCGGGACACGGGCTCCGTGCACGCCTGGCACAGCTGCAGCAACACCCACAGGGCCAGAACGGCCAGAGCCAGCCCCCTGAGGGCTCCCAGCCAGCCCCTGACAGAGCTCCTGCGCTGCAGCAGCCACAGCCCCACCTGCACACTCGCCAGGTAGATGGCCAGGTAGCCAAAGAGGGAGAGCAGCCCTTCCCGGTTGGCATCGAGGAAGCCGAGCCGGGAGCCCCTGCCGTCGCTCCCGTGCAGGATGAACGTCTTCAGAGGGGTAGTGCTGAGGAGGAGCTGGTAAAGAACAGCCACAGCTACAGCCACAAGCCAAGCCTTCTGTCTGGGGAATATGGCTAAAAGCAGAGATGCTGCAAGTCTCACCAATGCCAAGGTAAAGAAGAAGTTCCAGTGCACCCCGTACTCTGAGGTGTGCTCGTGGTACTCGATGGATTTAACGCTCAGCAGCCGCCCAACACCGAGGGAAATCAGTGGCCACACAGAAAACACCTGCCTGGAGAACCTGGGCTGTGTCCTGTGAGATTTCTGTCGAACCTCAGGGCAAACGAGAGCATTTCCAAAGATAAAGGCTCCCACCCCCAAATCCATGGCCCCGGTGCCGTAGGTCTCGGCCTTGGCGTATCGCCGGGGATACTGCGGGAAATCCACGGCCAAAATGCTGATGGATGTCAGCACATTGACATAAACACGGAACACAGTTATTGCTGGAATGCACTCGGGATCCAAGCATGTCTCCTGGAATTTTTTTACAATTTGCCCAAAGGGCTCTCTGGCCTCCCGTTTTCTCTGGCTGTATATTTTGAAAAATATTCCGGCACAGAAGGCAGCAAGGATAAATGGTATGAAAAAGATGATTGGAGACAAGACAGTGCAGGAGAACAGCAGAGGAGACACCAGCACCAGGAAGTCTAGCAGCAGGCTGTATTTCCTTGAGCTTACAGGTTTTCCATGGTGCAGGTAGTGCAGGATCAGGAGGAGCCCTCTGCAGAGCAGGCACAGCGGAGGCAGGGACAAGCCTGCGGAAATTTCCAGCAAACTCGTTCCGTTTAGGTTGCTGATAAAGGCTTCCTTCAGCTGTTTTTGGGACATTCTTCTTCCTTCCTCTGAAAACACAAAACATGAAACTTGAGGTAGCTTTGTAAAACGGGTCTCAGAACTCCTTAAAAATGAGTCAGTTCATTAAAACAACATTGATTTCAGAAGTTACTGAGTTACTTTTCAATTTAAAGAACACAGAGCAGCACTGGAGCTGGCTGTGAGGCCAAGGACAAGCACAGGCTTGAGGAAGCTCCAGCATTTTACATCCTGCTGTGTTCCAACAAGATGCTTCATACATTTTGGAGGGAGATCTCTAAACATCAAATACTTCCACAGGGTGAATAATCTTACTGCTCTGTAGAACACACTTCATATTCTCTACGTGTAAATAGCACAGCTATGTAAAAACGTGGCCCTAAAAAACTCCGTGCTGCCTGCTCAGTACAACCAGCAGCTGCAGTCCCCGTGTGCCTTTTTAGGGCAGCCCCAGCTACACCGGGGAGAACCCTGAGGGATGCAAAAAGCGTGAATTAAGAATTAATCACGGCTTGTGCTCAGCCCCGGGGGAGCTTACCGGGAGCGGGGGGACAGAACCGGCGGGGCCCGGGGCCGCCTCTGCCGCCCTCACGGCCCCGGCCCGGCCCCAGGTGAAGCCGGGCCCGGTACAGCGGGGCCGGGGTGAAGCGGGGCCGGTAAAACCGGGTCGGGGTGAAGCGAGCCCGGTAGAGCCGGGTCAGGGTAAAGCCGAGCCGGAGTGAAGCGGAGCCGGGGTGAAGTGAGCCCGGTAAAGACGGGTCGGGGTGAAGCGAGGCCCAGTAAAGTCGGGCCGGAGTGAAGCGGACCTGGTAGAGCCGAGCCCGGTAAAGCAGGGCCGGGGCGAAGCCGGGCCCGGTAAAGCGGGGCCGGGTAGAGCCGAGCCCGGTAAAGCGGGGCCGGGGTGAAGCCGGGCCCGGTAAAGCCGGGCCGCGTTCCCCGCCCGCACTTTCGCCGCTTCCGCAGCGCCCGAGCCCCGCCCGAGCCCCCGCCCCGGTTCCGCCTCCTGGGCCCGCCCGCCCCGCTCCGCTCCCGCTCCCGGCCCCGCTCCGGCCCCGCTGCCGCCCTCGGTAAGTCCCGAGCCGGCCCTGCCCTCCCGTCCTGGCCGGCATCGCCGCCGGGCCCTGCCCGCCTCAGCCCCGGCGGACAGCGCGGCCCTCAGGGGACACCGCCATCGCCGCAGCCACCGCGGCCCGGGAGCTGCCACGGCCCGCGTGTGTCCCCAGCGTGTCCCCAGCGTGTCCCCTGCGTGTCCCCTGCGTGTCCCCTGTGTCCCCATCCTGTCCCCCGGGATCTGCGGGCACCGGCACTCAACGCTCTGCCGGGATGGGTCGGACACGAGTTTGGGGCTGGCTCCCAAGTGGTGTTTTCATACCGGCGTAAGAAGGAGATGAGGGATGGAATAGGAGTAACAATGGAAGACGAGTGGAATAGAATTAGAATAGAATTAAACCAGAATTAGAGTATAATAGAACAAAATTAGAATAGAGTATAATAGAACAAAATTAGAATGTAATGTAATTAGAATAGAAAAGGAATGGGAGTAATGGCAGCTTTAGCTGCAGGAAGGACGGAATTCTTCCTGGCTGTGTGTGACTGGAACCTCTGCGTTTATCACAGAAATTCAAAGCGCCTGACTCACCTTGGTTTGGCTCCCAGGGATTTTCAGAGGAAACAGGAAGGGAACAACACAAACTTCTCCGAGTCATTCCCCTTCCTAAAGCTCTGGCTTCCCTGGCACCATCAGACCCTCAAGTCTGTCCTGTTTCTCCAAACAGGAGGAATGTAACAAGTGGTTGCAGTTTCTCGCCAAGAAAACTTGCTTTATTAAAGAGAAGCAGAGCATTTTATTCCTGATGGAAGGGAAGATACATGATTCCCTCCAAAAAAACATTATTTGCAGGGGCAGCAGAACAGGACCATCACTCTGGGTAGCATTTCCAGCTCCAGTGTTACTTGGGCCACACTGGGATCAGTAATTCTGTCTGAATTCTTTGGAATCTGCTTGTTGATCCCTCTGGAGAATGACATGCCCAGAGTTATTTTTATCTAAATGTCTTTTTATTTTCTTTATTTAAGCGTTCTCCAGTGTGATTTGAATGAAGTACCCTCAAGTAAAGGCCCTCTCCAGTGCTCCCGTCCACAGGCCTGGACAAGATGCCAAAGCAGGTAAAAAGAAAAGCAGGAATTATGTGTGCTAATTAAATGTTACTGCCAGGAGAGAATTCCTGGCTTATTTCCATGCAGTCAAGATTAGGTAACTACTAATGAATATTCACCCCTGCTTCATGCATTGACTGGACCTATTTAGTGTGGGTTTGAGCTGTGTTAGAGACACCAGGCAGTGATTTTTATTGTGCCCTGGGCTCTAACAGGGCAGGTGCTAATGCAGGCAGCAAGCACATCCTGAGGGTGTTTGTTCAGGAAGATGAATGGACACAAGAGTAGGGATTTATTTTCAAATATTCTTTTACTTTGGCCTAAGCAATCATCATCTCAACTGAAGTGATGCTGAGCAGGGCAGCAGAACCAAGGCCTTGCAGTCTCACAGTGGATATTTCACTTGCCTGGTGTAATAAGGAACACAGGGAGGCACGGGGAGAAAGGGGAATTGGCAGGAACGCCTTGGGTCCGTGGAGTGTTTCCTAATTGTGGTGCCTGTTCTCTGACAGCAGCAAGCTGCTCCATGCTCATTCAGAGGAGAATAACAGAAATCACTTGGATGGCAGTGCTTTACTGCATTGCTAAGCTTTTTTCTCCCCCCTTACTGTATAAAATTCTGTATTACTGGAAATGAACTACTTATGCTGTCTGCAAAAGATAAAAATGCTCCTACACTGTTGCAGCTTTTTTTTTTGCAGGAACGTGCTAAATGGGGTTTGCAGTGCATTTCCCCTAAATTAATGAGCTCAGCTCACATAGTGGAAATGCTGCTGACTAAATTTACCATTTTCTGTATAAGCAAGGTGATGCTGTTCATTGGTTAACTTGTGATACAGGTGAGAAGGGATACTTTGGAGAACTTCCTGTCAAAGAGAAGATCAGAAGAGGAATGCATAGAATGCAAAAATCAAGACTGGTGTCTTTTCCATTCCTCATTTTCTGTTCTAGCATCTCCTTTCCCCAGAAATGGCAAACAGGTCCTGGAATCTCTCTTCTGGCTGGTTTTCCATTACATACAACAAGTGTGTCCTTCCAAATAGTGTCAAGGACACAGGAGCCCAGAGGCAGAGATGTGAATATTTTAAGTGATTCAGAGGGGACAAAACTTCAGCTAAGGCAGGGCAGCTCTTCCCCCAGCACCATTCCTCTGCCTTGGCTGTGATGTGTGCACTCTGCAGCTTTCACCCTGAAAATGAGAGTCTCTGCTAGGAAAGCTGCATTTGTTTTGGCCTGCAGGGGCTTCCAGCTGTACCTGCAGCCAGCCCTTCCTGCTTCCCTGAGCCCAGGGCACTGCTTGGATTGAATGCATGACATGCAGAGGCTTAGAAATGAGCCAGTGGCAAGAAGATGGTGTGTGTCTGTGCAGAACTGCAGTGTGAGCCCGAGGCCACCTTCTGTGGGTGCCTTTGCCCACAGCCAGAGCACTTTTGTAACCTCAGAGCAGGAGGAGGGCAGCTGGGAGCAGGAATAGCTCACACATCCTGAGGTCTGGCTCCTGCTGGGGCTGAGCTTCAGGGACCATGGAAGCAGGGGGAGAGCTAGAACAGGGGATGAGGTGAAAGTCCAGCTTTTCACCTTTCACTGGTGCTGATCTGACATCCCCTCCAGGAAAACGGCCAAAGAGAAGATTCTGTCATCCTGAATGACCTCAGTGAATCATTTGAAGAAGAAGTTAGAGCCTTCCTCAGTGATGAAGAAAAGCTGCATCTTTTTGATGACCTCACAAAAGTGAATCCAGTGACAACCAGGACAGGTGAGCAGCCAGGGAGTGTCTGCTGAGGATTCCCTTTCCCTGCTGGCCACTGGCTCCTGCTCTCACTGCATTAACACCACTAACACAGGAGTTATGTATATTACACCTCCATCACTCTCTTGATCACCTCATTTCTCTATTAAACCTGGTAGGTAACACACCTGAGACTTCTGTTACAAACAGGCACAGCAGGAGTCAAACACACTTTGCAAAAGGTGCTGACAGAAGGTGTTGTTGCTTTTCAGTTCTGAAATGTCTTCAAGCAAGATACAGAGTCAACCTGTTCTATACAAATGCTGGCTGCAGCCTAGTGGCTTTAAATCCTTTCCAGCCTTTCTCCTGCCTCTACTCACCTGAGCTCATGAGGGAGTACCACGTTGCACTTTGTCCTCAGGTAACCCTTGTGTTTGAGATCACTGTCCTTCTGCAGAGCCCAGGTGCCAAACTGCTCCAAACATATCTGAGCAAAATACTGCTGCAGGATAAACCCCATTTCTAGTGAATTATTCTGTTAAAAGTGCAGTGCTGTTTTCAGATAAATGTGAGAGGACCTTTGCTATCCATTGCTGTTGAACTGTGTGATTACTGTACTCTTAAATATGAATATTCTCTTTCACTGCCAGGATTTAAAACCTCACATCTTTGCAGTGGCTGAGCAAACCTACAGGAATGTCCAAAAGCAGATGGACCCTGTGAACCAGTCCATCATTGTGAGTGGAGAAAGTGGTGCTGGGAAGGTAAGGAAATGCTTTTCCATGACATTGCTCTCAAGTTTTGAGCTCTGCCAGTGATTTGTAGTGCAGAGTAGTGCAGTGAATGAGCAAAGATGAATTAAAAACCCCTCTGACACAGCACGTAGCCAATCTGCCCAGCACGACTCTTGAAATGTGTGTGAAGCATTAAGTGATTGCTGCAGTTAAACACACTCTGCTTAATATAGCAGCTCTTCAGGTGACATCTGTCATTTCTGGAGGGCTGGGATTGAATCATTCAGCAGGAATTGCACCTGAGTTAATGCCTCAGCCTGCTCTGTCAGGGAGCTCGTGTGAGTCTCAGCAAGACTCAGAGCAGTGGATTCAGCTCCTGCCCTGGCCCTGCTGTGATGGTCCATCCCTGCTCAGGACAATGCTGAGGGTATTTTTAAACCCAAGAACAAGATGCTTTGCTGAATGTTAATGACTCAAAATCCATTCACATTCATTCCATCCCAAGGCAGAAGCTGTTCATTCTGGCTGAGCTTCCAGACAGTGATGCCTCGATGGAAGTGCCATTCAGCAGAGCACTCCCACTGCAGCAGCAGCAGCAGCAGCACTGAAATGTGTGTCTGTGGCACAGGGTTTCCACTGAACCAGAACTCTAAACCTGACACAGTTCCTCTCTTCAGCCTTCCCTCCAGCTGCACTCAGTGTTTGCAGAAGCTCCACTGACAGGACTGATAACATGTTAAAAACAAAGAGCTCCTGTCAGATCTCTCTCTCTTGCAGACCTGGACCTCTCGCTGCCTTATGAAATTCTATGCCTCTGTTGCTGCCTCAGTTATCTCCCCAGAAGGCAATGAAACTGTGGAAAGGATAGAGAAGAGAGTTCTGGATTCCAACCCTGTCATGGAAGCATTTGGTAAATGTGGCTTTTTAACAACAAACTAAAGTCATGGCCACCGTGGGAAATTTCCTTTGTTCCCACACGAGTCTAAGCCATCCCTTGGTTCTCTCCTTAAAAACAAACTCTTCAAATACTGGAGCTATTTACAGATCTCCCTAAATCCCTGTGTGTGCTGCATGGCAGAGTGGGACCACTCTGATTGTTCTGTGTCTGCCACTGGCAATTTCACAGGGAACGCCTGCACCCTGAGGAATAACAACAGCAGCAGGTTTGGGAAATACATCCAGCTTCAGCTAGACAGGTAAGAATGACTGTGTAAAACCTTACCTGTTGTTTTCTTCCTTTAAATCTTTGTTATCTTGTTCCTTTAAAGCTTACTTCTTAATTTTGCCATAGAATATTTTATGCCTTTAGAGTGTATTCTGGTTTGCTGGCAGCTTAAACTGTTATTATTTTCCTTTCTTTTTTTTTTTTTTTTTTTTCTGCAAGCTCTCACCCTGATCTCTAAAAGAGAGCAATGGAAAAATAGAGATGTAGTTAAGAACTCTGAATAAAATATGAACAAAACTGAAGGTGAACTGCAAAGCATTCAGTCAATTGATCTCAGAACAGCACAACTCCTCTTGGATTCTGTGAAGAGGTTTTGTTGAAATCTTTGCTCTTTTTCCCTCTCTAGATTCCATCACCTGACTGGTGCTTCCATCCAGACTTTCCTTCTGGAGAAAACAAGAGTTGCCTATCAGGCCCCCAATGAAAGAAACTTCCACATTTTTTATCAGGTTTGCCTTCAGTTAATTCTGCTGGGTATTTCTGACACACAGCAGGGATGAAATCACCAGATTTAGCACAGTTGCAACTTTTAATAATTACCAGTTTCCAGGCTTCCAAATTAAATCATCCTCCCAGTATGCTATTCTTCACTGTCTGGGAGCTGTAAACACCAAAGGCAGAATTCAATTTTTACCTTGTTTTGTGTCTCCAGATCACAAAAGGTGCTACTGCAGAGGAGAGGCTGGAGTGGAACCTTCCAGAAGGGGCTGAGTACCGCTGGCTGCCAAATGCTGAAAGAAACTTAGATGGTAAAGATTAGTTTCACTAACTAATTAATCAATCCATTAATAATGGCTGGAACTTGAAAGGGAGGCAGGCAGAAATTCACCCTGTTCAATCCCCTGGTCAGCCAACAGCAGAGGTTTTGTAAAGCCACCTGCATTAATGGGATTCTTTTTAAGTTTCCCTTGGCACTATAAAACCTTAAAGTTAAAAATCAGTCACCTGGCTTAAAACAGCTGGTTCTGGCCTGGCAAATTTGCATCTCTGTGGCTTTGTTCAGAAATTGTCTTGTCTTTGCATGTGCTTCACCTGACAGGAGGCACAAAAAACCCAGTGGGTTGGTTCTCCAGTTTGTGTGTGGGATTTACCCAAACAGTTTCCCTGCTCTCCACTGACCATTCCAGCTGGATTGGATGTGCTGAGATGTTCTGCTTGCCCCTGTTTGTGTGCTTGGCTTTTTCAAGAGCACTGTTTGGCTTTTCAGAGGACTGCTTCGAGGTGACCAGAGGGGCAATGTTCCACCTGGGCATCGGCCACGCCACGCAGAGCAATATTTTCAAGGTCAGCTCCACATCAGGCTCCACACAGCCAAAGATTAGATCTGAACTAAAAGTCTGCACCTCTGAATTTCAATTTGCCTTCAGGGATTGCACATTTGGGATCCACACAGAAGTTTGGGACCCTTTTTGTGCAGGAATGTTGTGAATGGCCTTTTCCTGGGGCTGAAGGGGACACTGCCTTGGGGGGAGCTGTCCTGAGAAACTCCTGATTGTATTCCAGGTGTTATCAGCCCTTCTGCACCTTGGGAATGTTCAGTTCTCTAATCCAATGGATGAATCTCAGCCTTGTGAACTGGAACACAAAACCAAAGGTGAGGCAACAACCATGCCATGCTCCAGAGCCTTGTTCAGTGCAGATGCCCAAGGGAAAGGATTAGGGAGAGAATGGAGAGAATTCTTACCTTTATTTAGTTAATTTAACATTTATTAAATGTATTAAAAATTATTAAATCTACTGAATTTTCACTTGAGGAATTTTAACTGTTAGTACTTTCCATTATTAATTCCTTTTAACTACTAATAAGTCTAATTATTAATAACTTAATTTTTAAATTTAATAGATTTATTTAAACTGTATTGAATTTATTGCATTTTAAACTATTGAATTCATTTAATTTCTTCATTTAATTCAGAATTCTTAAGGAATTTGAACAATAACTCTCCTGCTGATAGGACACAATCAAGGCCATGAGCAACCCAAAATTTAGGTGTATTTTCATGAACAAACAAAAACCCAATGCTCCTCTGCCCTGAGAGATAATTTCCATCCCTGACAGGTCAGGGCAACTGCAGCATTACCCAGTGATTCCAGGATTGTTGGCAGAACCGTGGCTCTTGATTGTAATCTTACTCTGCCATCAGAGGGCTGGCAGAAATCTGAGCCACAGGGAGAGCAGGGCTTTTCACATCAAAGCTTGGAAGTTTTCATGATAAAGACCAAAAGCCAGTGACAACAAACCTGTTAAATTCCAGCATAAGTAGAGGTTGTTCTGCATGTCTTTAGGAGCCTTGTGGATCTGGATTTCCTTCAGAGCTAAAACTGCCCTGAATGGTGAAGTTTCCTGCTACAATGTCACATGTTCTGAACTCAAAGTACTTAATATTCAAATAATATTGAATACAGCTCAGCTGAGAAATATTTTAAATGCTTTGTCAGCAAATACTCATTCTTCTACATTTCCTTTCTAACCCCAAATCTCTGCTTTTTTCCTGGTCATCACTGTTTGATTTGTCTGTCTGGATTTAGAGGTCTCTGCTCAAAAGAGATGAACAACTAACAAAGACACACCTAGAGGGAAAAACAACTTTAGTGTGGCAAACTTCCAGCTTTTTCTGGTATTCCTTCATTTTAAAGAAAGGACCTGAAATTCTAGAGGCACTCTACATCCAAATTAAGAGCCTGCTTTTGCAAATCTTACTCCCAAGGTTGGGTAGAAAGATCCAAAATTCACATTTAAGTTGGAGAGCTGATGGAATTGGCATTTTTCTACACAATCTCTAGACCTTCCATTCCTTCAGAGGTGTGAACACACCAGGTAACCTTGCACTGTTTGTCCTCCTGAACAAGAGTTTGTGAAGACCACGGCAGATCTGCTCCAGATTCCTGTGGAGGAACTCCTGGAATCTTTAAGGATTCGAAAAATCACTGCTGGAAAACAGCAGCAAGTGTTCAAGAAGCCCTGCTCCAGAGCTGAGTGTGAGACCAGGAGGGACTGCCTGGCCAAAGTCATCTATGCCAGGTAAGGATGTGCTAATCCAGGTGACTTCTGGCAGGGGATGGGATTTACTTGCTGCTGTTTCATGGCAGCACAATCAGAAATTCCTCTCCCTTCCAAGTGACACTGATGGAAACAGCAGTAAAAGAAACAATTCTGATTATTGCAAGCAAGCAGCTTGCAGCTAATCCCATTGTTGCTGTCTGCAGGTTGTTTGAGTGGCTGGTTTTGGTCATAAATGAAAACATCTACACAGACCCCTCAGTGTGGACCAGCTTCATAGGTATGGACATCTCACCCTGGTTTAACTCAGGGGCCAGCAGCCCTCCAAGCTGCTCCTAAACTACAGCTCTCTGTCCTCCCACATTCCTTCCAGGTTTGTTGGATGTTTATGGGTTTGAAGCCTTCCCTGAAAACAACTTGGAGCAGCTCTGTATTAATTATGCCAACGAGAAACTGCAGCAGCATTTTGTAGCTCACTACCTGAAGGCACAGCAGGTAATACCCCAAACTGAAGATCAAATCTTCAATATCTGATTTAAAACAGCATCTCTTTGTCACTTTAATTGCATTGCTGTGCCCGTGGTCAGATGGAACCTTCAGTCAGTAATGCCACAGAAAGCAGTGGGAGGGAACAGTGGCTTTGTAAGGAGGGGAGTGTGGGGCAGCTGGAATGACACAACTTTGTCTCTTGGGGATTGGAAATCTGCTCCCAGCTCCACTGGATCTCTGCCTGCCAGACTGTTTGCTTTTCCTCAAAGAGCTGAACACTTGAGACTAAATTCTTGAGGCAAGTGCAGCCTGAATGGAGGTTCTCTTGGAAGTTTGTGCTTACAGCCATGAAGCATCAAGTCCCTAAAGAGTGGAGCTTCTGGGCTGAGCTTGGTGTGAAGGCAGAGCCCACCAGAACCCTGCCACCCACACCTGAGCACGTGGGACCTGTGGAGGCCTCCTGCCACAGGGGCACAGCTCCCTGAACCCAGCCAAACCAAGCCCAGTGTACACCAGCTTTTATCTTTGAGTAAGGAGGGACACAAAGGCTGGTGTTTCACAGCAGGGAAAGGTTTTTTTGCACCATGCAGTCCCTCACTGGTCTCACACCGCTAATTGCAGCTCTCATCTGAGTGCCCTGCAAGGTGCAGACTCCCTGCCAGGCTGCTGCTCTACCCCTCCCACTGCAGATCCATTACCAAAATGCTCTTTTGCCATTACCTGGAATCAGGGGAATTCTTTTCTTTATGGCACCAGCGTGCTGGCACCTCCTGCCTCACAGCAGGCTTTTGTCAATTTATTCAGGAGATAAGTATTTCTTAGACTGCAAACTCTGCTTTTGCTGTTGCCAGGCTGCTTTCCCTGCCTGCCCTGGTCAGCATGCCAGGGGTTAATGGTCAAGGAAGATGGAAAGCAAGTTCAAGCACACAATTGCTTTGCTTGAAACGGCTCCATGACCTCTGTTTATAGCACCCCTCCCACTCCCTGCCTGCCCTCTTACCTCTGGATCTGGCTGTCCCCCAAACCACTTAAATGCCATTAGTGGCTGTGCTGAGCAAGCTTTTGGCAGGAGGCTTTTCAAATAACTGCCCAGAGCTTGTGCTTGTTAAACACTGCTGACAGTTTGTCCTGTAATTCAGCATAAATATTGTACCAATTATTCCAGCCAGTATCTCTCTGCACTTCCTTTCAGATCAGGCTTTGCTTTAAATGGAGCCCAGTTAGTAAAGCCTGGCACACAAAGGCTGGGTTAGGGCTGTGTCCCAGTCCAGGGAAGGAGTTCTGCTTGTTCCTTGTCCTTCAGGGAAAATCTCAGCACAGCCAGGAGAGGCTTTGTGTGACTGTGGCCTTTGTTTGCTCTCTAAAGCAGCCTTACAGCTCACTCTGATAAATCCATGGGGTTCCCAAATCCTCAGACAAATTGTTCCAGCAGGTTCTGATCCACACCCAAAAGCCACCTGAGGTAGAATATCCTCATGTGAGTCTTTTTTTCTCAAGCTTGGTGTTGACCTGAAGCTGAGCTGGGATTAACTCCTCAAACAGGACCTGGATCAGCTGCCCAAGGCACAGAGTTCTGAGCTCTGGTGCCCTCTGCTGCAGAATAATCCCTTCCCTCTCCCTTCAGGAAGAATATGCAGCTGAAGGCCTGCAGTGGTCATTCATAAACTACCAGGATAACCAGAACTGCTTGGATCTGATAGAGGGAAATCCTCTCAGCATTTTTTCCTTGCTGAATGAGGTAAGTGTGATCTAAACCCTTCCTTTTTTTGGCCCCAGTTCCCTGCCTTTATCCCACACCACCAAAGAAAACACAAACAGTAAATTAACAGAAAACCTGTCAGCTATAAAATTTCTGCAGGTCTTCAGTTTCAGAAAAATCATTTCAGAAAATGCCATTCTTCCTTCTGTTCTGAATTGTCTTTTCCCCTCTGATCCTGGATGTTCTGATTCAAATATGAAGCCTCAATTACTTCTTTCCCTCCCTTCCTTCCCAATATTTCAGGCCTTGCATACTCAAAGCAGCTCTGAAGGTAAAATGGCTTCTGATTTAAGTTTTAAATGTTGTAGCTTTTAGAATCAGTTCATTGGGACAGATCAGAGATGCTGCAACTGTGTGTCCTTTGCAGGAGTGTCGTCTGAACAGACCCTCCAACACTGACCTGTTCCAAACCAGGATTGAGAAAGCCTTGTCCAGTAATCAGTGTCTAAGTCGAGATAAGTTTAGTAAGAAGCCCAACTTTATCATTTCACATTATGCTGGCAAAGTCTGCTATCAGCTGGCAGCAATGGTGGAGAAAAATAAGGTAAGTATGTGTGAAAAGAGATGTTTAAAAAAATCTTAAAAGTATCTTAGAGACTAAAATGATTTAAACCAAAGCACCACCTACAGATACATTCAATGCTGGGTACTGGACATACCTTGTTGCAAATAAATCCTTCAGGCCACATGAAAGTGGGTGATGTTCTCTGAACCACCACTGGCACAAGCAGATGCTCTGTTACACCTTTGAGCTGAGCTTGAAGTGAACCATGACCAAATCAGGGCTTCTTCCATTCCTGTGAGATGCAGAATTGTTAATGGCATCAGGGTATTTTTATAACTATAAATACAGCACTTAATTCCCCAAAAAATTCAGCTAAATTTATGAGAAACAAGAGCACAGGCTTAACTACTGAGAAGTGCTGAAAGTACTCAAATTCTGACCATCAGGGAATAACTGAAATGTGAAATAGTCTGCAGAGAGGAGGGTCCCTTCTCAGCTCTGACATCCCCAGCAATTACAGCAAGTGCTATTATTTATTTAGCAATAAAACACCATCTCTTAATTCAAAGGAATACTTCTAATGTCTGCTGCAGTCTGTCCTTCAGGGATTAAACCAGATCTGAGAGTTGGAGCTCACTTACCCTGTGGAACAAGAACAGTGTTGGGAGCAGTTGTACATTGGACTGAATTTGCTGAATGTTCAGCCAAACATTGTTTTCTGTTCCTAAATCTGACTAGGAATGAATGCACATCATCACATTTGAAACTGCAGCTGTGGTCACATGAAATTTGGCATCAGAAATGCTGTTCTATCTCTATATGTGGAATTCTTAGTTATTTTCAGAGGTGCAGGTGCCTGCCAGGTCCAGATACTGACAGGTCATGTCTGTTTGCAGGATGCTGTTCCACCAGAGCTGGTCCACGTTTTGCAGAACTCAAAGGACCCTTTGCTTCAAAAATTATTTCCTGTGACAGAAAAGAACCAAAATAACACCAAAACCCAGAACAGACCAGCTGTTGTTACAGTGGTGTCCAAGTTCAAGGTACATCCTATTCAGATTTCTGCTGTAATTTTGGAAACTTCCTGGATTTACCATCAACAATTTGATGAAGGCATCCACAGAGTGAATTTTTAGCTCAAGCTGTCCTGTAGAAATGCTCTAACACTGAGTCTGCAAAGCCATCCTGGCCAAGAGCAGCTTCACGGGGTGGATGGAAGATCCCTGAGGTGGAGGAGCCCTGCTGAACCCTGTGTTTGTTTCCTGCAGAGCTCCCTGGAACATCTGATGGAGATTTTGAGCAGAACCACCCCCCATTACATCCGCTGCATCAAGCCTAACGCCGACTGCATGGCCATGACTTTCAGAACAGAAGAGGTAACTTTTCCAAAACCTTTGCACTGGGTTTCTTAGGATCTTGAGTCACTTGCAAAGCTCTTTTCACAGCACATTTTGAAACTGCTCTTTCTCCTTTGAGATAAACACCCTTTCAGAGTCACTGCTTGTCCAAACCAGCTCCCAAGCACAGCAGCTCTTCCAGCTGCACCTTGCTTGTTGCTGGGATGATTTGGGGTGCTGCCCTCCCAGCCCTTCAAACAGAATTGATCTGAGCAGCCCTGGGCACACAAATACCTTCAAACCAAAACTCTGCTCATTCCTGGAGTCCAGGAAGCTGAGCAGCTCTGGGAGCAGAGCAGCAGATGCTAAAGCTGTAACTAGAGAAGCTCATCTGATGGGCAATCAGGCTTTAAACACCCCTGGAATCTGCTGAGCATGGAAATAGCAACACTGAGCATGGAAATACCAACTCTGGCTTTTCACACCCTGCTGGGTTTGGGCACTGCTGGCTGTGCATGCCCAGGACAGGGCACACAAGGAGCAGCTTCCACAAAAGTCAGGTTTGTCTAAACCATCTCAACTTGTGCCTCAGGTTCTCAGCCAGCTCCAGGCCTGTGGAATAGTGGAAGCCATCACCATCAGTGCAGCAGGTTTCCCAGTCAGGTAAGTTCAGCTTCTTCAGCATAATCCATTTCTATAGCAATTAGTGGCATTTAGTTATTCAGAAGAGCTTATAAGCAGGAAACCCAAATATTTTGCACCATCAGCATATCCAAGCACAATTCTTCCCTAGGCTTTGCTACAGTCACTATTAGTGGGAAATCTGAATTTCTTCAGAAGTTCTGTACTTTCTGTTTGCATCCCATGCACTGGGTCCACAAAGCCATTATGGAATTTTCCCCCTTCAAATGATCAGTTATTTACCAATACAGCAAACAGGATCAGTTATTTACCAATACAGCAAAACCAATACAGCAAACAGGATCAGTTATTTACCAATACAGCAAAAAGGAACAGTTATTTACAGTAATGATTCTTGCCTGGAATTCCCTGCACATTTGTCTCTCAGGATCCCTTTCCAAAGTTTCACTGAGCGCTACGAACTACTGAGAAAATCCTGGGGCTCCAGTAAAAAAAAAGTGTGGGGTAAAAGCAGCTCTCATCCTGCTGAGAAAAAAGGTAAGTTTGTTCAGGTAATCCCTTTGCTATCAAGTAAAATTGTAACTGCCCCCATTTGGTAACACCCAGACCAGATCATTACTGTATTCACCACTATTCTCAAAATACTTCTTTAACCTGTCACCAACCTGAGTTTCTAATTTGCTTAACACTTAAAATCTCTCCCCTCATTGCTGCTTTTCTTTGTTCCTCCTGGGTGGAACAATCACAGTTACAGTGGTGTCTGGGGTTCCCCTCACCCAATATAATTTGATTTAGAGTTGATTATTTAGTAGACTTGAAAACCACTTACCTTTTGCCTTATCTTCCTTCTCCTTCCTTTCTTTCCCCCCCACCTTGTTTTCTTGCTGAATCACTGACCTTCCAGCTTACCTGGACTCTGCTGCTTCTTCCACCTTTTGCAAACTTCTCTTTTTCTAAGCAAGAGTGAGGATGGACTTTAACAAACACAATCCAGCCTACAGGTAATGCCTTTGCTATGAACCCCCGAAAGGAGGAGCTCATCAGGTGGTTACATTGAATATTGAAGGTTACTGCAGCCCTTTTCTGCACCCCAAATGAATCCCCTCTTCACCCAGTGGGTCTGTTCAATAAGCAGCAGCTGTGGGAAGCAGGGCCAGATGAGTAAAACTGGTGGAAATCTGTTCACTGTGTGGAAATGGGGTGAAGTAAGGAAGTGCAGGCTGGAGAATTACTTACACACTGGATCTTTCCCCCTCAATTACAAATCCATTAACTGCAAAGCCTCTTTGTGATAGGTTTTTAGTCCTTTTTATCTTCAGGGGGTAATAAGCTGCAAACAAAGCAAAACAATTGCCCAAACACGGGGATAGCTTTTGGTTCCCTTATCAGCCCAGCCCCATGAACACCATCAGAGCCACCAGATGTCTTCCTGTATGCAAGAATTGCTTCTATTTGTTTTCAGGACCTTAAAATGCTCTCATCTCCTTAGAAATATTTATAGCAGAAAAGCAAACAGTATCCAGGATGGAATGATGCAAAACCCTTCCAGCCCTGCGCATGCAGGAACTCCTGCAACCATCTCTTGTTCCAGATCTGAATTAAGTCTGTCTCTATTTCCAAAGAGATTCATCTGGCTGACCTGTCTGTAATGTAAAAAATTGTGCACTGTGTCTCAGAAATAGCTTTAATAACCTGTAATTGCTGCCATAAATTCCTGCTCAGTACAGGACCCTGTAGCTGCTCCCAGTGCCCTGTTACAGCTGTACAATTGTGCAGAATTTGTTTCCCCTTCCTGCACTTTTCAGTACATTAAGGCTGCAATTCCCTGCCTTTTGTTCTTTGATCCCACAGCTTTGAGTTTTGAGTATTGAATGTGATTTTCTTAGGCCTGAGCTGCTCAGTCTGTTCTAAATTGCATTGCTGCTGCTTTCTCGTGCTTCCAAGTAGGATACTTGGAATGGGGGAACAGCTGAGCCCTCCCTGTTTCAGTCCAGATCTACCCCAAATGACAAATTTACCTGTGGAGAACAGAGGTGAGAACAGATGAGAAGGCAGCACCCAACCACAGCCCAGTTAAAACACCCCACACTGCTTTTTTGGTTGCTGGCATCTGGTGGAATCTGTGCTGTCACATTTTAGCCTTAAACACAGCAGGATCGAGTGCTCTCAGCCATCTCCTCCTCCCCTCTTGCTGCAGGTGTTTCCCCTCTAAATGGCCAAGAAATCTCAGTGCAAAGACAATTCCCTGGCCCTGATTTCCAAATTTTGTGATGCCTTCTCAATGCTTCATTTCCAGGTGAGACTGCAGTGATGGATGATGACAAAGCACCACGTGCTGCTGTTCTGGAGATCCTTCAGGAAGCTGTTAGGGGACAAACCCCTGCTCAGGAAACAGGGAATGGAGCAGAAATCCCCTCAGTCTACTGTGGCAAAACCAAAGTGTTCATGGCCAGTTCTGTGGTGAGTGCTGTTCCTGCCTCAGGGCCATTCTGGCACAGATGGTGGAGGCAGAACTCCTGCCAAGCCAGCTTGACCAGAATTGGGCATTTTCCATCCAATGATTAAACTCAATCAAGCACCCATCAGAATCCAGCTCTGCAAAGCTCTTTGTGTAATGGCCTCTGTGCTGCCAGTGGACAAGGAGCTGCACTTGTGTCTAGAATAGCCAGAATTCCAGTAAGGATGGCAGCTTTCCTTAGCTCCAGGTGACAGATCTGGCTGCTCCAACAGGCCTGCACAGCTTCCCTGGGAAAGAGAGAAGGAGACAAAGGCACTTCTGCCAAGTTTTTCAGGAGGCAGCAGCCCCTCAGTGGAGCTGGGTATGAACCTGCTGTGCTGGGACTTTGGGAGGCTCCACTTTCCTCCCCAAAAACTTCCATTTTCATTTCTATGTTACCTAAAAAGCACTAAGAAGTGCTGTCACTTCCCAAACCTAATCCAGCAGTCATGGGACACTGGAATGAGGCTGTGGTCCCCTGACAAACACCAAGAGGCTGTAAAAGAGGAAGAGTTGTGAGCACAATTCCATCCCTAACTCCAGGCTCCTGTTCCCCACTGCAGCTGGAGCTCCTGGAAGGCAGGAGAGCTGAGGTGTTAAATGAGAAAGCATTTTGCATTCAGTGCTGTTGGAGAAGATTTAAAGAGAAGAAAACAGCAAAGGAGAAACGCTCAGCAACTCTCATCCAAGCAGGTGACTTGCTAAGGGTGGGGCTGAAATAACACAACAAGGGACATTTCCAGTCACACTGGGGGATTACAGTGGCACAGGTGGGCGAGTGCCTTCTCTGCCAGGTTCTCTCACTCAGGTTTGTCTCCATTCAATCCTCAGCTGTTCGTTCCTGGCTGGCCAAGAGTCGCTTCCAGAGGATCCGCAGGGCTGCTGGTGCCATCCAGCGTCACTGGAGGAGATGGAAAGTGAGTATGGGGGACAGGAGAGCACTGGAAAGGAGCCACTGAGGCTTTTTAGTGTCTGAGAACAAGTAGCAACTCTGAGAACTACAAACCCAGTGCTCCAGGAAACTTCTCCAGCTGACAAAGAGAGGAGATGCCAGTCCTGTACAGCTGCTTCTGCTTTATCCTGCAGAAATAAGCTCATTCCTTACCTGCATGGAAGTTGGGGTGTGCTGTCCTTCCTGACTCCCTCTGTTTTAGCCTCTCGGTTTTGCAGTCCTAAGCTGTGTCCAGCACATTTTGAGAATGTTCTTGTTCTGTGTCTTTTTTAGGCAAAAGCGGCCGCGTTGGCAGCAGCAGAGCTGGACGAGGGGGAAGGAGAGGAGTTCCCAGCTCCTGGAGCTTCCTTGGCCAGCCCTCCCTGTTCTCTGGACACGAGGTGGCCCCTGCAGGCTGTCGTGCAGTCCTGGCCCCTGGGCCTGGCACTGGCTGCTGCCCCTGTCAGAGTCACGGGGCCCCGGAGGGCGCTGGAGCTGCTGAGCTGCCTCAGGGGGCTGCGGGAGGGCTCCAGGGAGCACCTGGGCTGTGGCATCACCTCCATCAGAGCCCTCCCACAGGTACCCACCCCTCCCTCCTGTCTGCAGCACCCGGGGCTGCCACGAGCTTGGGAACACTTTGGGATAGCATTTCCCATTAGCTGGCACTGGCTTCGCTCAGAAACTGAGTTACAAATCACCTTTGGGGCTGGGGGGAAACATTTTTGTGTTTGCATCAAATTCTGTGTGCAAGAGCTCACAGCTGCTGCAAGCTGGGCCAGGTTCAGTGCTGAGACTCCAACCTCCAGAGTCTGAGCTGATTTCAGTTCCATTCCCAGCACTGACACTTTCTGTTGTGATCATTTCTCTTAAATCCATTTGTAGTGGACTCCTCTGGAGGAGTTCCCTGTCCTCACATCCAGTGGTTCATATACTCAAGAACTAAATGTGAATAATAAAATCAGCTGCACATCTGGCTGAAAACTCTCCCCCTCTTGTCCTTGCAGGGCTCTGTCAAATTCCACTGCAGGAAGTCCCCCCTGCACTTTGCCAACGTCAGCCCCCACACTGAGGCGTTTTCCATCACGGGATTCAACCAGATCCTGCTGGACAGAAAGGAACTCCTGCCCACATAGCCCTGCCCCCCTGGCCTCGGCCTCCAGGGAGGGCTCTCTGCAAGCTGCTGCTTTCCAATCACTCAACGTCCACTTCTGCTGCTACCTCAGAGCTTCCACAGCGCTGCCTTGTCCATACCACGGGATGGAATGTAATACACAGCATAATACACATTATAATAGACATTAAATTCAGTTTAGGGTGTGTGGGGGCAGCTCCTCCTCACCCCACACGTTACAGGAAATATCAACACTATGGGAACAAATCAATCCAAACAGATCAGGTGCTTGAAGCAATGAATACTTGAACTGAACGCTGCTGGCACTGCCTGCACGAGCCAGAGGCTGCTCATGAGAGAGCAAATAATGCAAATATTCCTGATTCCTGCTGGGTTCTCAGAGGTGCAACCGTCCTGACTGACCACGAGTGTCCCCAAGGGAGTGAGGAGCAGCCAGCTGCAGCACTAAGGGCAGATGTCTCAGGGAAAAGCAAGGCTGGGCTGTTGCTTTTATCTACAGAACCAAAATTTGTGAGCCCTCACAGCTGCCAGGTGCCTGCAGAGCTCCCCAAAGAGCAGCACCCTGCCCAGGGGCTCACCAGGGGTGCCCTGTACCCTCCCTTTGTTGCTCATGGATCTTGAAAATGTTCAGCTGCTCTGTGTATGTCATTTAAAATAAACTGCTCAATGCTCTCTCAAGGTGTCTGACCCTTCCCAACAACCTTTAGTGAACAAAAGCATTTCAGAGTACTCGTGGATTAAAATAAATGTAAATGTGTTTAATATTGTCACTGTGAAACAACATTTCCCGTGGCTGCCAGAATTTCTGTGCCAACAGAAAGCAGAGTAGCAAGTTCAGCCCCCAGGATCTAAAAATGTGTCCCAAAACAACCCTGCCCCTTTGCCAGCTCTAAACTGAAATCAGAGCACTGACATCCACGGCCAAAGCAGCCAAGACACACAGTGGAGCAGCTCTGGCTGCTGGCAAACCTCACAAAAAATAAAAATCTCAAGGTCAAAAATAAAATCATTCCCACAGCAGCTCACTCGGGGAGAACGTTCTCCTTCTCAGGAGGCTCCACAATGCTCAGGCAGCAATCTGCAAACTCCACGAACAGCGGCTCCTGCATGAACCTCCTCATGAGGGAGCTTTTGTCCTGAGCCTGGTCGATGGTGAGCAGCAGCTGCCGCAGGTGGGGGTTCAGCAGCAAATCCCTCAGCTCCTCTGATTCCCCTGCAACGAGGGAAAGATCCGAGTTCCAGACGTGCCTGAGGCCACCCTTACCTTGCAAACAAATCTCCGAAGGGCCAGATCAAACTCGGAGCGCTTTTAGGCCGGGATAAGCTGCAGGTTCATCCGCCCCAATTCCGCGAATTACCCAGGAGTTTGAGTTTCTCCAGCGGGACGCGGTCCTGCTCGTCCTCCTCGCCCAGGATGTCCTCCAGGGCCCAGGGGCCGTGTGTGGGGTCCGGGATGGGGCCCTGCCCGGCCGCCTCCCGCTGCCGGGGCCGCTCCTGCCGGGGCTCGGCAGCGCAGCGCTCTGCGGACAGACCCGCGTTAGACCCGCGATACACCCGCGTTAGTCCCGGCCTATCCCGGCCCGCACTCACCGCGGTGGGTCCGGCAGCACGGCACGGAGCAGCTGTGGGGACAATGGCGTGAGAAAGGGGCCGTGCACCGCTTCGCTCACCGCTCTCATCCTTCCCTCACCGTTCCCCTCACCGTTCCCCCAGCCCCGCGCTCCCCTCCCTCCTCCTCCTCCTCCTCTCTCCCCTCAGCCCGTCCCGCCCCGTCCCTCGCTCACTAAGCGGTTCCGCAGCGCGGACAGCGGTACCGGGCCGCGCCCCGAGCCCCGCACTCCGCGCACGGCCCCGGAGCCCGCATGGCCGCCCCGCCACTTCCGGTTTCACTTCCGCTTTCACTTCCGCTTCCGCCCTGCCGGCCAGGGCGGCCAATCCACCGCCGAGCGCCGCCAGGCAGGCCCGCTTCATCCACCGCCGAGCGCAGCGCGTTTGCTCCAGCTATTTCCAGATTTTTCCATAAATAGATACATGTAGAGAGATTTATGGACATAGAGATATAGAGATATAACTGATATATACAGACATAGCTCTGTATATGGAGAAAGAAGGAGGGAGTGGAGAGATGTATATATCGAGATAAGAAGTATGGATATGGGCTTATGTAAAATATATAAATAGATGTAGATATGGAGATAGAGGCAGAGATATATGTAGTGATGAGGAAAAAAAACAACAAAGTAAAGAAACTGGAAAAAAGTCCCTGAAAACTCCAAAGGCTGATGTGTTGTGTGTGATGGATGTGAGAACATCATCACTGTGTGGATTTTCATGGAATTTTATTGCTGTGCGTTGATGAAATACCACAGAGCAGCAGCTGAGCAGCGCAGAATAAGAAACATGGGCTGATGTCACAAAATCTATCCAATCCAGGCTTCTAAAGAAGTTTAAACATTGAGATTCTTCTAGGAAATATCCCGGTGAAACTAAGAACAAGCATCCATCTCCACTGGGGTCTGACAGAGCAATATCTACTAAATAAATATTGAGTAACCAACTCTTCTTTCTTTTGAGAGGGAGGAGTTGAGACCTTTTTCTTTTACAAAACATCTGGTCTTGACATTTTTATTGCTTTCTGTCCAGGCAGCTTGACTGCAGCTCTGATCCTGAAGAGCCCAGCCAAGGTTTTCACCTGGAATTGTACAAATTTCACAAGCCAGGGACTTGAGTGCGCCCTTAAAAGCAGAAATACAAAAGCGCAGCCAAAATATCTCACAAAAACACCTCATCCAGCAATTAAAATCACAGCAGGGAAACAGTGCTGAGTGCCCCTGTTAATAAAGATTCACCCAGCAGTCAAAAGTCACAATTTGACTCACTAAACAATAAAGTAAAACGCTGTTATCCCCCAAAATTCCTGGGAATTTTCCAGCTTTTCCAGCCTCTCCAGAGGCACAGCTCAGAGCAGAGGGACGTGAGGCACAAAAGCAAACACCATTAATGGAGTTATTTTTAACTGCAGGGAAAGCAGCTCCCCTGTTCCCGTGGAGCAGCCAGGCAGAGCTGCCCGAGGGACAGGGACAGGAACAGGGACAGGGACAGGGACAGGGGGATTCTGCTGGGAGGATCCCCCAGGCTCCATCCCCATCCCTCGGTTGTTTCTGCACCCCACAGAGGGAACCACGGAGCTGCCAAGGTGGAAAAAACCTCTGAGACCCCAACTCCAACCACCCACCACAAAACACCCTCGAGGGCCACATGAACACATTTTTCTGATCCCACCCACGTGGGTTTGGGACACATCTACACATTTTTCTGACCCCATCCATGTAGGTTTCATCCACATGCACACATTTTTCTGACCCCATCTATGCGGGTTTCAGCCACATGCACACATTTTTCTGACCCCATCCATGCGGGTTTCAGCCACATGCACACATTTTTCTGGCCCCATCTATGCAGGTTTCAGCCACATGCACACATTTTTCTGACCCCATCAGTGTGTGAGCCCTGTGTGGTGGAGCTGGGGCCATTCCCAGTCAGATGTTCTCGATGGCACAGGCCTGCATGCGGGTGGCCGAGGGGCAGCGCAGCGCCTTCAGCTTGGCCCCCATTGCCCTGAATTTCAGCGTGTAGAGCACGGGGTTGCCCAGGCAGGTGATGGTGATCAGCATGGCCGTGCAGTTCCTGAAGATGTAGGCCCCGGGGTAGAGGTCGGTGTGGCAGCTGTGGTTGATGGCATCGAAGATGACACCGGCCAAGAAGGGCGTGTAGGACACCAGGGCCAGCAGCCAGATGGAGATGCTGGTCCTGGCCACCTGCGTCTCCACTGACTTGTAGGTGCCCATGACTTGGCCACACGCCTGCATCCTCAGCTTCCTCTTCCTCAGGATGAGGATGATCCTCAGGTAGGTGAAGAGGGGCACGAGGAAGGCCACCACCACGTTGGGCATGGTGATGAAGACGAGGTAGCTGACGCAGAAGGGGCTGTAGAGCACCGAGATGCTGCTGTCTGCCTGCAGGCAGTTCCAGCCCATCAGTGGCAGGCAGCCCAGGAAAAAAGCCAGCACCCAATTGATGAAGACCACGGTGATGGAGTGGTGCCTGGCCACCCTGAACCTCGTCCTCATGCTCTTGGCCACGGCCAGGTAGCGCTCGATGCCGATGCTCACCTGGTTGTAGATGGTGGAGAGGATGGACGTGGTGTACAGGGCGTAGGGAGCCAGCATGTCCTGAGAGCCAAAGATGGTGATGTCGGGGTTGGTGATGAACAGCACGGAAATCCAGAAGCCAGAGAAGCTGGTGAAGAGGTCAGAGACTGCCAGGTTGCAGAAGAGGATGGAGATGGGCTTGTGCAGGTCCCTGGTGGCCAGGCGGGTGACGATGACGAGGCCGTTGAAGATGACGGAGGTGACGTTGATGGTGAGCTGGGGGATCCCCAGGGCCAGCACCAAGTAATGACTCCAGATCTTGGTGTAGTTGGCAGAGCAGTTGGAGAAGCCATTCATGGTGGGAAATGCTCCTTCCAGCCCCCAGCTTTGCTCATCCCATGCTCCCCAGGAGCTCCCACCTCGCTGCCCGGGCGCAGAACCGCTGCTGACAATCAGCTCCTGCTGCCACATCATCATCATCACGACAGGGATTAAACTTTAACCAGTGCTTTCCAATATTTGGGTTAGCAGCTGGGGGCTGTGCTGATCTCCTCAGAGTTGCTAGGATAGCCCAAACTGCACAACACATTTCCCACATGGATGAGCACTGGGAACAACCTTTGACAAGAAAACAAATCCCAGGGCTTGGGGAGATGAGTGGGCACACCTGCAGTTTAAAGTTCTTCATTCAAAAATGAAATGAATTCTTTAACTCACATATTAATGAGATCATAAAGGAGCAGAGAGCCAGGAAAGGGAGAGCAGAGTTTTGTGGGTTTGGAGGGGGGATGTGTGGCTGAGGGAGCTGAAATAAAACATCAGTGCTGTGTCACCAGCCTGGACCCCAACAGCCCAGAAAATCCCTTCTCCCACTTCATCCTTTCATGGTAACACAGCTAAAACCCAGCCAACATCAGCACCCGTCTTTGCTACAGGATAATTTGTGTTTATTTCATGTGGCTTGTCCATTAATAAACCAGTGTCAACACCTTTGTAGCTTTTCTTTCTCCATCTTTTTAAATCCAAATGATTTTTGAAAACTCGGGTCGAAAATGCCTGGGGAAAAAAAGCTCTGGGGACACACATTGCATGCTCTCAGCAGAGGGCACTGCTGGAATAAAATACAGGGAACAGTGGGAGCAGGGAGATTTTAAACAGCTGAGCAGTCCAGGTGAGCAGAACAATTATCCAGTTCAAGCCGTGTTATTTATTCTGATTCAATTCCTGTTTTCTTGTTACCTTCATGAAGGATTCATCTTCACTGATCACAATTTTCTACCACGACCTTGCCAAGCAGCTCAGCTGAATTTATGGGCTCCCAATTCAGCACTGATCATTACAGCAGCAATTCCAGCCCCAGAGATGAGAATCTGTGAACTCTAATAGCTCTGCCAAATTTGACATGTAAGAAATTTAGGCTATAATTTTGAGTTTAAAAGGGGGAATTCTAGGGCTTTTTTTTCCTATTGAAGTGTATGAAAGTACATTCACTTAAATGTGCAGTCAGCATCCACAATTTTTTGTGTACTAAGAATACTTTCTAATTAATTATTACACTTTTAAAGCATGATTCTTATACTTTATACAAGTGTAGACAAGCAATAGGTATTTCTGATGGTCACAAGGGAATGATTACATAGAAATAAGGGCTGAGAATTGATCAATCAAGCCCGGGGGTGTATTAACACCCTATAAAATATTCCTCTCCCAGTGTCCCAGATAAAAAACCCTTTGTAATCCCCGCTGGGGCAGCCCTGGCAGCCACACCTCTGGTGTGAGGTTGCTGCTGAACAAGGGCCCCACTATTTCTGTCACCTCTGTGCCAGCCCAGCAAATCCTTTCACTCCCAGCAGAAGTGGCAGCACAGCCCAGGTGGGCACAGGACACCTGTGATGAACAGAACATCCACAGAGCAAAACTGCTTTGAAAACACCCTGGTGGCTAAAAATAACTTCTCTGTGAATTTGGGCTCCAAGGGGTTCTAAATATTCCTGAAAATGCTGCTTCAAGTTGCTCTAATTTGAAAATTTGGTGCTCGAGCACAAAACACTAAACGATGTGAGAGCAGAATGTAATTAAAGTAATATCAAGTGGTATAAATAGCTCTCCACAAAAGATTTGTAATCTGATTTCCCTAATAGAATTGCATACAAATTACCATCATGTTGCTGGATTAAGGGAGACAATAATGTGGAAGCTGCTTTTTTTAGTGGGCTTTAATACACAGAACCCCCCCAGATCTGGATATCCCAGTGGAAATACAAATATCCATCAGCTGGATTTCCCAACCCTCTGTGATGCAGTTGGAGTTCCCAAAACCAGATGAAAAATAGTTTAAATTTAAAGCCCAACCTCTTCATGGAACAACCTCAATTCAAGGGCATTTCTCTACTCCCATGTTCCAAGAACTGTAAAGCATTCTCTATACTTATCTCACTATACACCGGTGAGGAAATTGTTATCTGCATCCTATAAATGGGCAAAGAACAATCCCTTTGTTTGTTTAAGGTGACACAGGATTCCAGGGAACTCAATCTGACTTCCAGGATCTCAGTGACTGTACCTTGGTGTTGGCAGCCTCTGATTCACATTTACCGAGATTCCACCTTCTGTAACATTTATTTTTTTAGTTCTGTGATTGTTTTTCTTTTAGTTCTGTGATTGTATTTACATTTCTTTATCTGAATGCCCAATTTGTTCAGACGGATGTGTAAGAAATGGCCTCGTTTTGTGGAATTCTCTGTTGATTGTGCCTGTGGGGAAGAAATAACCACTGACCACGCTGAAGAGACTGAGGAAGAGTCACCAGAGGCTTCAGGCTGAGTTTTTTGTGATGGTTCAAGTGTGGAAAATCCAGGTTCAGCCAACCTGAGCTCATGGCCTCAGAATTGTCCCAGTGGGATCCACAAGGGCTCAGAAGGAGAGGCACCAGCTGGGACATGGCACAACTGATGCCAAAACAGGGGATTCATCCCAAAGCAGGGGATTCATCCCAAAACAAACAGGGGATTCATCCCAAAGCAGGGGATTCATCCCAAAACAGGGGATTCATCCCAAAACAAACAGGGGATTCATCCCAAAGCAGGGGATTCATCCCAAAGCAGGGGATTCATCCAGGGGCTGAGCTCCAGCCCTGCACAGGAGCCCTGGGACAGCTCCCACCTCACCTTGGGGTCAGCAACCCCTGTGCTGACAGGGAAACTGGAATTGTGTCTGAAACTGCAGGGGAAATCTGTATCCTTGTGATGGAAATGGGAATCCCACAGCACGGGGAGGAGAAGAGATGAGCCACAAATGAATCCAAAAAGGATGAGGGATTTCACTGCCCTGTCACATTCTCAATTCCTGACTCCAAACCCTTGGGAGCTGGGATGGTTCAGCTTTCTCCCATTGTCCCTTTCACTCAGTTCTGCATTGTCAGACACCAAACCTGGCCAAAAAAACATTGTCAAGCAAAGTGAGCAGCTCAGCAGAATCATTCCATGAGTCCAAATCTCAGTGCCATGACCTTCAGCAAAGCTGTGGGGTCAGAGCATCCCCTGCCCAGCCTCTGCATGGGCATCGTGAGGCCTGCAAGGAAGAGTCAGGAAAGGGAGTAATACAAATAAGGAGCCTATTTATCCAATTTATGTTTCAATTTATGCAGATTAAAGCCTTCCTTTCTGGAGAGGAAGACACAAATGGGGTGTGTGATCTCCTTCCAAGAATTTTTGGAGCTGTTTTGAAAACACAGGGCTCTGCTCCTCCCTCCTCCAGCCTCTCTCTTGGAGGAATTTTTGCCTGCCAGGTTTGGAGTGATCCCTTTGGAGAACCTGGGCTGTCTGAAGGGAGACAAACACCAGGGAAGGAGGCAGAATTCATCTGATCCCTGCTCCCATGGACTGTCCTTGTGCTGGGACAGCATTCCCAGGGCAGCAGAGCCAGGGAGGAGCAGAGCCAGCTCATATCTGCACATGGAAGATGAAATTTTCATGTTTCTGCTGCACCCAGAGCTCTGAAATTCCAGATTTCCTGTTCAGTGGAGTGGGAACCCTGATGAATAAAACGACAGCACACAGCTAAATGAGGAGCACTCTGTGGGAATCCCAACCACCCACTGATCCTGGAACCCATCTGTGTTTTAAATCCCTTGGGAGTGCTCCCCTGCCCCTCTGCAGGGGCAATCCCTGCTGGGTCAGCTCATCTCTCACCAGGTTTGGACTCAGGCCAGCCTCACTCTTAAAGCCACAGAATCAATGCAGTTTTTACTGGGTTTGATATTCCCACCTGTCCTTCCTTACCCTGTAGCTGCCAGGAAAATCCAGGCTGGAATTCAGAGATCTTTGTGTCATCCTCTCACATCTTCAGGTTCAATCTCCAAAATTCTTTATGTAAAATGCACCCAGTTCTTGGTGGCATCTTTGCATCTCAGTTCTGGTTTTGAAAGGAATCAGAATTATCCTGAATTGCAACGATGCCATCGAGAACTGATATCCAAGCACCTGTCAGGGGAGTTTCCTTAGGAAAAAAAAAAAACAAAAATAAGGAGATCAAGTTATGCCAGCCCTGCTTATTTAGGTGTCAGGCTTTAGAAGGAAAGGGAATGTCTTTGCCTGAGTGTGCCTTCACTTTTGAGCTCAAATTAAAGCTTAATTAACGTGACTGCAGTGCAGTTTATTACCACTTTGATAACGAAAGGCTAGAAGGTTTAGAAACAAAAAGAGGAATAAATAAATAAATAAATAAATAATCCTGATTTTTCAAGACCAAAATTTCTAACCCTCAGCTTTTCAGTCCTGAATAGAGAACTTCAAGGAAATAGAGCAGGGGAAAAAAAAAAAATAAAAATAAAGAAAAATATGTTGGTTCAGGTCCCCAGTGAGCAGCATCCCAAGGAAGGAGCAGAGCCCAGCAGGGAATTCTCTTGGCTGCCCTTGGAGGCTGCAGCTGGCACAGCCCTGCTGCTCTACGTGCTCAGCATTCACCTGGCCCTGCAGAGGAAGGGAGAAAATGAGGAAAAAGCCAGCAGCCCCCTCATTGTTGTCTCCCTTCCCTGCAGGAATTATTTACCTCATCACCATGTGCGAGGCAAATCAGCGCCGGGGCAGGGTGGAAAAACACTCCCCAGCAGAGTTCATTGGTGGAATGTTATTTATAGCCCCGTTTTTGTGAATAAAAGAGCTGCTCTGGGTCAGCTGCCCAAGCGGCCACAGCCAGAGCAGCAGGGCAAAGCTGTTCTGACTCTTTTTCTTTCTTTCTTTCTTTCTTTCTTTTTCTTTCTTTTTCTTGGCTCGTTTTGGTTGAACTCAGCCTCTGCTGGATGACTCTGCAGGCTCAGCTGGGCTGGGATAACATCACTGCACTCTGTGCATCCCTCATGGGCACCCTGCTCATCTCCCACCCAGCCCAGCTTTGGGGCTGTGCCCCCAGGGACATTTGGGGAAGGATTTTGCTTCATTTGTTTTCTTCATCTGGATCAAAATCCACCCCAAAAAAACCCTAAAGATGATCCTGTAATAAATCTGTGTCGCTTTTCTTTGGTGAACATAAAGTCTGAGTTGCCCTTGAATCGTTTAATTCCAAACGTGAAATTTAAAAATTTAGATAGGAAAACAAAGGGGACCAAACCCCAAAATCTGTATATGTATCATATATATACATATATATCATACTACAGTAGCAGAAGCAGAAAGTTGAGAAAAAGAATTATTAAAAAAATGTATCATTGCTTAATTACGTGTGTAAGGTGTTGTATGTCACCTAATGAACATTTCCTGTTGCTGCACATGGAATTCCCATTTTCCAGTCCCACAAAGCAACTCCAATCCTGTTTGGAGAAGTGTGGGGTAGAAGTGAGGGGAAGTTGGGGTTTTATTTATCTCCCTGGAGTTTTCTTTTAAGGAAACATTAACTTTTACACACGTATTAATTGAATGGTACGAGACTGCCAGGAGAGAACCTCCCAGTAAATAAAAATGCAGCATTTTAGTCCTGGGCTGCTAAACCTGTGCAGGTTGCAAAGCCTCAGTTATTCACTAAAGGCTCCTTGCCCAGTGCCAGAAAGCCTCACTCCTTTTGCCATTCACTTGGGAGAATGAATAAATTTAGGCAAATCAGGAGCAGGGCAAATCTGGAGAAATTACAAAGGGGAGGAGTTCACCTTCCTGCTATGGCTTTCAGGTCTGTCCTGGACTACTTACTCCAGTATAAAACTGAGAGCAGAAATATGATCACATCCTGAGGAGTCTAATCAATTCTGGTTTCAACACTGAGCCTATTTAAAATAGAGAATGGAATTGCTGCTCCTTGCTCTCTCCTGCCTGCACTTTCTCAAGACAGAGGCAGTAGGTAAGTCCTTCCCTGCTCTTTCTAACCCCACGTGAAGGTTACTCTTATTTCTGATTTGTTTCTGACTATCAGGACATGCAGTGCAGCCTCTCTGATTCTTCTCTCTGGTAAATGAAGGATGATTTATTTATTTCTCTGCCTTCTGTTATTTCTGGTAAAATATCAAGGATGGGCTTTTCTCGTGAATGAATGAGTGCTTTGGGGGTTTCTTTTCACCTTTAGAGATTCTCTCTGCCTTCCTCCTCCAAGAAAAATCATTGGGCTTTGACTTGATCTCTGTATTTTATTATGAACGTGCATTTAAAATACCAAAACTTAATTTCTTTATCTTTAGATCTCCTTTAAACTTGAATGAAATCGCTTGTTTGAAATTACTGCTCCCTTTGCTTTACTGTGTATGATCCAAGATGAAATTCTGCTGAAGGAGAAAGAACAATATGTCTTTGCTGCATCAGCCCCATCTATTTTTGCTCCCTGGGCACTATAAGTACACTGTGCACTTAGGATGGCTCAATTAAATAGCAATCTATAATTAGTATTGAAAAATGCAGAAGGTTTTTTTTTTCCCCCTTGCTTCTATTCAATCAGCAACTGCTGCAACACTGAATAAATCCCCTTTTTCCTATGCAAATACCAGCACAGAGCCTCGAAATTAAACACTGCAGCTCCTAGAAGTGACGAGGGGTCCATTGTTTGCACTAAAATAGAGCAGAGTGCAGTGAGGAGAAAAGGGATCCAGCATTGCCAGGGGAAGTGCTGCCCTGAGATCTGCTGGAGGGAGATGTGTTAAAGCAGATCAAGGTTCAGAGGTGCTCACAAAGCCCTGGAGGGTTTCCCTGGGTTTATTTCTCTGCTCTTAATTCACTCTCTGTCCCTCAGCAGCTTGGCTTTTCCAGATTCTTACCTGGCACTTCCAATCCCTGCTGGCTGTTCTCTCTGCAGGTAACACGTGGGCCAGGTAAACACAAACACAAAAAGCTTTTGCTTTCCCAAATTCTGCCACTCGTGCTTGCTTGCTGTTGATTCCTGGCTATCAACACTTCAGGGGTTGCCCCATTAAGGGTTTTATTAGGGAAACCTGAACCACTGCCTAGAAACCTTTGTGACTTTATTAGTTTGGTGTCAATAATTAGGGTTTATCTCTTTATCAGAGAGCAGTAACACAGGAAATGCATGTATGATCATTTGTAGGCATTTTTTGCCCCCTCCCCCCGGTTATTTCCACATTTTTCCTTGAGTGCAGACCAAATTACAGAGTCATTAATACACAAGAAACTTGCTCTCTACCTTCTCCTCCAAACTTTTCCTCAGGCAGAAGCTCCACAGGATACATTTTATGAAGTTAAAGATTACACATTTCAAGAAACTCCACTTTTGACAATCAGCTGAAATTCCTCCTTGTTGTATTCCTTCTTGTTATCTTTGGGTTTGTTTTTTTTTTTTTAAAGTAAACATTTCTTTTCTGTCCTGCTATTTCTCAGGAGCAGCCTGGGTGCTCTGCCCTGACCATTGAACCCACCTCACCTGGGCAGTTCATAACTCACCACACTGAAACAGTCAAATAAATGACTGATTGCTAATCTTGGAAATTGCTGCCAGCCTCGTCTGAATAGCAGAGCACCTGTGGTTTAAAATCACTGTTAACAGGGGGCATTATCCATTGTGGGAGAGGGAAACTGAGGCACGCTGGTGCAGGGATCAAACTTCCCCCAAACTTCTGTCCAGCCCCTCATCCAGATCTCAGAATATTCCATTTACAGCTGCACTCACCCACCTCAGGTTTCTTATCTGACTCCTTTGAGATCCCAGGGACCCTCTGGTGCTGTTTTTGGGGGGAAAGAGAGACAAAGTGTCTGCAATTTCCAACAGGAATACTCCAAACTTTTATTACTGTGCCATTCAGAGAGCAGGGATATCCATCCATCCATCCATCCATCCATCCATCCATCCATCCATCCATCCATCCCTCCCTCCAGCAGCTCTACAGCAAAGTCACTGAAAATTAATTTTCTTCAGGGGGAATGGAATGAACCCCAGCACGTTTTAACCTTTGGCTTTATCACAGAGCAGGACTCAGCCATGAGGAGACAAATCTCCCACAGTCCATGCTCTGGTGCTCCAAAAGATTGATGCCTGATAGGACATTCCTCTGATTTAGATGAGATTAGATCCCTCGAATTTTCTATATTTCTGCTCACATGCTTTTACCCTTCACAAAGATTAAATTTACATAACCATGCTGACATTGACGTCAGCATCAATTCTCACTCTGGGGTTTCCTCAGGGCCATTCAGGTACAAAACACCCCTGAGAGCTCCATCAGCAGCTTTAAAAAAAAACTTAAAAATTTAAAAGCTGGTGTGACTTCTTCCCTTTCCAGTTCTAATGGAGTGGACTGCACACAGGTTTATGGCTGGGCTCCAAATCCATTTTAGGGCTGGCAAAGTTGTGATGCTGGCACACTTGGACACACCCTGGGATGAAATATTGTATTTTCAGCTGGTTAAAAAAAAGGATAATAAATGCAATGTAAGACCTGGGACACAGAGAAGAGGCAGTGAGCAATAGGAATTATGGAATTGCCCATGTGGGGGGTTTCAGTCACCTCTGGTGTCTCCATCAGGTCTAAATCCAAGCATGGGAATTCCCCCAGGATTCCCCCAGGCACCAGGGTGAATCCTGCTCTGTTTTATCCATGATTTTCCCCTGAGCCACGGATCCTCCTGGCTCTTCCACTGGGACGCTGGAAGCAGAAAAGCCTTTGACACTTTCAAAAAACCAGCACAAACCTTGAGGTCTCCTAGAAAATTTCAAAATCCAGAGTCTGTCTCTGTGCAGGCTCTTTCCCCTGCTTGTGGCATTGCAGGAGATGCTTTGTTGTGTTCCAGGATATATCCAGTGGCCTGTTATTAGATTTTTAGTCGTATTTTTAGCCACGGGATCAGCCATCAAAAGCTCGGCATAAAAAGCTGCAAACGGCCAGCAAAGCTACCAAGTGATTGGTTGGAATTAAAATTTTAAAACCACTTTAAAATAAAGAATTCCGGGTTGCATTTTTATTAAAGGAAGCAAGGCAAAACCCCTCACAGAAGGAAATCACCTTAGCCCTGGATACTCGTTTTTTGTTACAGCTTCTACCTTTGATACAGGACATTTCTGAGGGCCATTATCTACAGCAGAGTATCCCAGGTCACAGCTAAAAACCTTCCCCTGCTCTCTGACACAAAGGAAGTCCTTTGCAGATGTTAATAGGGCATATCCAGAATCCCTTTGGATTTTTCCTGTAGTCCCAATGTGTTCCAAAGGCCTCATCCAGCACCTGATTTATGTGCAAATTATAAATATCAGATGTGCTTGCCTTACAAGGCTTTACCACCACAATAAAGCTGATTTTCAGGGCTAAGTCCCCACCATATACCTGCAGAAAGGTGGGCATCCCCAGGAAAAATAAAATTCCAGGTTAAAAGTGAGGAGCAATGAATGGCCACAAATGAATGCAGAGCCACAGAAATCTCGAGGTGAACTTCTGGAACTGATTTTTTCTGTCAAAGGAGCTGGCTGGGGCTTCCTGAGGATGTGTAAAGCCTCAGAATGTATAAATATTCTCATGTCTATATGCTCACTTTGTGCTCAGCAATCCCATTAATTAGAAAGACAGGCTTAGACAACAATTGCTTTTAAGATGTTTTGTCTTTTGCACTAAAAATAGAAAGTTTCACAAAGCCAGCTAAAAATAGGATGAGCCCAACACAAGCCAAGCCTAAAAATAAATCTCATGCAAGCCCAGCTTTTACCATTTTAGTGGAAAAGGATGCAGAGGTGAGAGCAGAATTTTGGGGATGGGTTTGAGGAGGCAAAACTGCAGAGCAGGGAGAGCTCTGGCACTGAGGGCATCCCTGGCTCTGGGATGGGCAGCACTGGCACCACTGGGAAAAAAAACTGGGAATGCTCCGGAGGGACAGGGCTGAGAGGAGACAAGAGGATAAAAAAGAACAAATAAAGCACTCAGGTGAAAGGGAGAAGGGATTTGAATTAAAAACCAACACGTTCCTGCTGTCCCAGGCAAAAAGGTCACTCACAGTCCCAGTGTCGTTAATAAAAGCAGCTGGCCAAATATAAAATTAATAATCCCCTTCTCAGGAGCAGGAATTGAGGCTGCTCAGCCCCATTTTATTGACCCTGCAGTGCACACGAAGGGGTTAAATGACATTTCCCAAGTAGGGCAGCAAGCAGTGCCCGAGTGGCACCGAGCAGATTTGGGAGTTTTTATGGAATTCAGACAATGTGAGCGAGATCCAAAGAGCTGAAGGGTCTTTTCCTAGATCACACAATAGCAGCTGGCAGGGTGCCCCAGCCAGCAGCACCTCCTGGAGAAGTGCACAGGAGAGGGACTTCTCAACTGCAGCAATATTTTATTATATATTTATATTTTTTTATTTTTTTTTTTAACCTCGAGCTTCCAAAGGAGCCTTGATAGCTAAAAACAATTGAAAAGGTTTGCAAGAAAACGAAAACAATACGTAATTGTATTGTTTTTTCGGCTACCCCCTTGCCAAGAAGCAGCTTTGGGCAGGAAAACAGTTGTAAATTCCAGGAGGAAAAGGCAGAGATAAGTGGGACTCACGTGCCAAGAGTGACTCCCTAAATTTAACTGTCCTGAACTCTTGGAGGAAGAGCCAGCCCTGTCCAACCCTACTCTAAATTAAACCAAATAAAGTCAGTGTAACACCTGTGGGATAGTACAGAACCACTTAAATCAAGGATAAACCCATCATAAAATGTAAGATAAAGATATCATTGATAATACAGTGGGTCCAGGTGCTCTTATGTGTGTCTTTATCTTTATTTCTATCTATATTTAATCTGTATCTATATATCTATATATTTATATATCGATATATCTTTGTATATATCACAGCAATTATTTCAGCACCTCAACCACAAAAACAAAACAAAAAAAAACCCTCTCGAAAAGACTGAAAACCCCATTTTCTGCTGTGTTTCCCCAGCAATAAAATAAGCAACAAAAATTAGCTTTATTTTTTTAAGCTAAAATAAGAAAGAGAACATGGGAGCTGAGGTTTGATTTTCGAAGGAGCAGGGCAGGGTGAGACATGAGGGGTCCCCAGATCGTGTAAAAAAAGGGGTTCAGAGAGAGATTTGGGGATGAAGATGAGATTTGGGGATTCAGAGGGAAGTGGGGATTTTGGGGAAGGTGAAGGGCACCTTGTCAAGAGATGGGACAAAAGATGGATGGAGCCAGGACAGGAATTAGAGATGAAGAGGGAACTATTTGAATGCTGTAAACACCAGGGAGGGAAAAGAATTGTTTAGGGTGGTTCGGTGATATTTCTAGGAGTGATGGGATGCAGATAAGGAAGTGGAAAATGTAAGCTATTAAATAGGAAACATTTCCTGACAGCGCGGGCTAATGGACTGTGGAAAAGTCTTCTAAGGGAAGTGGCAGGAGCCGCTCAGACAATTCAGAGTGGCCTGGACAATGTGCCTGAGGGCAGAATCATGACTAAAACCACGGAGAAGTGACAAGGATCTTTCCCTTCTTGCTTCGGGAAGAAAACCCCAAAGCTCAGGGGAAGAAAGTGCCATTGTAATGTAATGTTCCTATAGGGAGGGAGGCGTCACATCCAACTCAGATAAAATCCAAATGCAAATTTTCCTCCTCGGGGACTGGCCACACAAAGGATCCTGTTCCCCGATGTTCCACTGCTGCCAATCAAAAAAAAAAAAAAAAAAAGGGAAAAGAAGCCCTAATTCACAATAAACATAAATCCACTGTTTGCTAATTCAACATTCTGTAATGTTTAATTAGCTCCTTCTTTAAGGTTTAACGCCTTCAAGGACGTTTTTCTTATGAAATGCTGAATTTATGTGCTGTTCTATTCCACTGATACCATCCAATCCAGTGTGACAGGGACTTGGTAGAAAACACAATCCTTACCTTGTTCACAGACATCAGGAATTTGGTGGAAAGATGCAAAAAATCAGATCCTAATTATTAAACACTCCTGAGTGCTGGATGTGAGGAAGCTGTAGCCACTTTTCAATATTAAATTGGATTTTATTAAACTTTTTCTCTCCATCATTTTCATAGCCAAGCTGGAAGATTTGTGGTGTGCTCAAATGAGACAAAACCCACAAGTTTATTTGTGACAATTTGCCAGGCACCTGTTCAGGTGCTAAAAACTCAGTAATTTCTTTGTTTGAGAAGGGTGGGACGTGGATTTACCACTGAAATGTTCCATAACCCATTTCTATTCCCTCTCTGGGGCACAGACCCTGATTCAGGACCACCAATCTGGGGGTAATTCCCCTTCCCCTTGTGGCTCTGTTTGATTTTTGTGGTTTCACAGTCGTGATTTAAAAGCTCCACAGCCTTGGACCTGCTGCCCTGACTCCCAGCTGTGGCTCAGATCGCCTGGAAAATCGGATTTGTGTTGTAGAAATGCTTTGATGTCCTGTGAAACCTCCTGGAATTGCTCTCACCTGCCACCTTCCCCCTCTGCTTTCCATCCCAAAAATTTTGGGAGCAAATCCTCTCAGGTTATTCCTGCTGGCCACCAGTTCTTTCACTCCTGAAGGTTCCTTCGTGTTTAAATTGCCAAGAACCTCCCAATGCCAGGCTGCTGGGATTGTTAAAAGTTCACACTGACCCCTGAGCAGGTGCCAAAACCACACCTGGACTTTTTCATCCATGGAAAAAACACGTGTGGAGCACACCCAGGCAATGTGGGGATCAGCTCACCTGGCATCCTCCAGACATTTATTGATTAAAATATCGATTAAGGCACTCAGTGATGTCCTGTGCCTGGAACTTGTGCTGCTTCCCAGTGGGGATGAGGAAAAGCTCTGTCCTGGGAAAAAAAAAAAAAAAAAAAAAGAAAAAAAGAAAATGTAACAATCAGTGCTGGAAAGTGAAGTTTTGTGTGTGTGTGTGTGTGTTTAGAAATCTGCCAAAAGGATAAAACCCAATTTTTGGATAACAGCATAGAAATCCCTGCTGGTTTTACCACACAAAAAAAAGCAAAGTTTGTTTTTCTTCCCAGTCTTGCTAAACTACAAAGTGAGGCAACATTCTTTGTAGTTTTCAGCAGAAATTTTGGGGTTTTTGGAAGAAAAACCGAAACTGTCATTTTTTTTTAAGGTTGCATTAATTGCCACAGGTCTCCCTCTGTGTCACAGCTGCTCAGGTTTTGTAACAATTCTCTATTTATAACTTCTAAATCTTTAATAGATGGATGTATTGTTATGCCACTGATATCAAGATAAAGGTGTTAAAAGCCTTCCAGCAGGTGTGTTATAAATTACAAATTAAGGTAATTACCAGTCGAGTGACAGAGCTCCTCCATAATTATCCTTAAAATTGATTAGCCATTTATTAAAATGTCTATAATTTACTAATCACAAGCAAACAGAAAGGGTGGTATTAATCATCATTATAAGAGGGTTTGAATTGTTATGGATTAAAGTTAAATAGCCAAAGAGAACTATCCCTGTTAAAGTCAATTTAAAGTTTAGAATAAATAAAGAGCCACTGAAGCAACTTGGGATGAACAAAACAATGCTACTTTCCTGACTAGATAAAGTTAAATTAGCTCTTTTCCTCTGAATTTTGTATTTCCTTTGACAATGAGAAAGGGAAATTCAGATATTCTGCTGAAGAATTTTGCACCCATGCCTTTGGGACTGGTCCAGCTGTGTTTGACCAAAGATCCTCCAGGTCCTGCAGGGAGTGAGATCCTTCATTGCTCAGATTTCCTCACCAAGTAACCTTCAGAGGAGTTCCTGGAACAGGCTGAGATAAATCCTCTTGCATAAGTGAATTTACAAGTCTGTGAAATGCTGGCAGGTGCAGAGCTGATAAAAGGAAATTTACTTTAACACTGCCTATATTCAAATGTGGAACTTTCACCTCAAGAAGTTGAGGAAGCCAAGGTTTGAAAATCAAATTCCTTAGGACTTCAACCCATCCTGAATTCTGATGATGCAGAGCTCTAAAGATACCCCAGCACTGGTTTTGGGGGGATATTAATGGCTAAAAAAATGGTTTATGAGAGATCAGGAGGAGATCTAGAGAGGGCTGAGCTGCCAACCTATTTCTGCTGCTTTTTTGGGGGGGTAATCTGTTCAGATTTTCATTCACCTGTTTTATTTCTTGTTTTTTTAGTGGGTCACTGGTGCTATCGGTCCCAGAAGTGTGAGCAGCCACAGTGTAAAGGTAGTGCCAAGCAATTTATTTTTCCAATCACATTGGTGACTCTTCTGCTTTGCAAAGGGGCTGCTGAGTGAAATAATGCAAAAAAAAAATCCACAGAACTCAGCCTCTAATGCATCGTGGTTGCATTATTTGTGACCATGTCAGTGCTAACCAGGGTAATTTGAAGTGTTTGTGGTAACTGCTATGAGGATAATGTAGAAATGTTCAAATAAATGTAAAAATGTAAATACACAAAATACATACATATAATACATAAAAGCCACCCCAGAAATTGGGGTGATGTCTCAAATGCCCCAATTTGGTTGGGTGGTTCAGCTTTCTCAAGGATTTGCTGTTTACAGGGTAAAATAACAAATCCATTTTCTTACACCTGAGCAGATCCTCCTCGATGGCACCTGGTGAACGTGGAGTGCAAGGGGAGCAGGCAGTCCCCTGTCAACATTGTCACCAAAAATGTGGTTTGTGACAAGAGCCTCAAGCCCCTGACTTTTGAAGGGTATGATGTGAAGGGCTCTGCCAAGTGGCTCCTGGAAAATAATGGCCACACAGGCAAGTACTGCCCAGGGGGATGGATTTGGGCTTTTCCTGGCTCCTTCCACATCCCCTGGAGCACAGCAGGGAAGCACAGATGAGATCCCTCCCCTCTGCTTCAGAAGTGAAACTCACAGAACATTTTCGGTGTCAAAATTGTCTTGGGAGGTTTGTGGGGAGTGACGAAGTTTTGGGGTTTGTGGGTGAGGTTCTTGAACATCTCAGCAGGAATTTCTGTGCAGAAACAGAGCTGGAGGTGTCACAGAAGCTCTAAAACAAAACTTTCCAACCCAAACAGGGTCTAGGACTGGGGGCAGATGGGCAGGACAACAATTTGGGCAGAATTTTTAATTTTCTGCTGAAACCATTTCATTCCTGGGCTCGTCCTTTCCAGCTCTGGCCTCTGCACAAAGAATCCTGCTGGAGAAAAGTCTCGTGTGGGAAAGTCATTCACGGTGCTGGGTGTTATTAGTTCTTTAAATAATGAGCTATATTCTTCTCAGATTCAGCCCTGTTTTCTCTGCACACAGAAGTTATCTGATGTTGATCAGCTACTTAGTGAATCAGTAAACCGTGAATCAATTAACAGTAATTTAGAACTGTTCCACTTCCTCCACCTTCCTTCACAATACTGAGGATGCTGCTCCAAAAAAAAAATACGTTCAATTACTTCGACTTTAGAAATAAACTTGTGGTCTAGCTAATTTTTAAATTATTATTATTATTTTTAAAAGTTACGTGTAGGTGTTCTTAAAATTCTGGACGGGTTTTTTTAACTGCCAATCCTCAAAGCAGAAAGTAGCAAATGGCAAATAATTCCTGATTTAAAAGGGAAAGGTGGGAGATTTTTAACAGCCAGAAATTCTAATTTCAAACATTGCCATCGTGGCAGACCACAAGAAAAAGGAATGTTTGGACTTTTCACTGATATATGGATTAATGACTTTCCCATTACAAGGTGATACCCCAGGATGTCCAATTACAGCCCCTTTTACATCAAAATTAATATTTATAAGGATTGCTGCGAACACCTTCCCCAGCCATGCATAAGGATTAGGGCTTTAATCTGGGCTTTTAAAATCTCTTCCTTCTGAGGGCAACCAATTCCTGTGCTAAATGAGGAGGTTATTGCTTAAATTACAGCTGCAATTAGAGGCTGCAGGTGAGATTAGACACTCAGAATGTTCGTGATGGGCACATAGCAAAGGTCGATGTCTCAACGGTCTTAAGCTAAATAAACAAAGCCCACGAAGACATGTGACTCATCCATTTACAGATTAAAAAGCAAAGGAACTAAATGACTCATGCACTCTCCAAGTTCATTTGGAATTCAGAACAGAAATGAAATCTCTGGGGCTGCAATCCAGAATTTTCCTCTGGGGCTGCAATCCGGAATTTTCCTATGCAAAGAAAAGTGCTGTGCTTAACGTGGGGGGGTTGTAAAAAGTAAAATTTTAAAATATAGCTCAAATATGTATGATTTAGGCTTGAATTGCAGCACTACTCTGAATTAAAACAGAATATCTTTAAACCCTGCCCAAAGGAAATGTTACAGTGCAGACAACAAGAGATTAAAATGATGGTTAAAACCCAAATAAATTGAGATCAAATTTACTTTGATAGATGGGTTTTCTTAGGAAAAAAATGAAGGAATACTGGGTCTTCTGAGAGGTATAAGAAGCTCTGACTCCAGAGGTCATAATGGTTATAACTAATCTCAAATGAAACTCAGCTATGATTCTGTAAGAGTTCAGTTTCTGCAGAGCAGAATTTCTGGAACACTCAGTCTGAAAAGCCAAGTGAGAACTTGAAGATAAATTTGAATCTCAAGAACATCTCTGCTCTCACATACTGTTAATGTAGGATCTGCTCTTCTCCTTTAAAACAATTTGTGGGTTTCCCTCCCCCCCCAGTTAAAGTGACACTAAACGGATCCCCCAAAATCGGAGGAGGAGGCCTGAAGAGGAAATACAAGGCAGTAGAATTCCATTTGCACTGGGGAGTCCCAGAGGAGCCACAAAGCATCCCTGGCTCAGAGCACAGCATAGATGGAGAGAAATACCCCATGGAGGTAGGTGGCTCTGTGTGTGCATCGTGGATTTCACTCCAGAACTCTGGAATTTTGAGATCCTGCTCCCAAAAACTCTTGGCTAGGTCCCCATGGGAGGTTGAAGGGTGGAAATAATCCCCCTTGGCCGTTGTGTTCCAGCTTCACATCGTCCACATAAGAGAAGATGTTTCAAGTGTGACAGAAGCCAAGAAAACTCCAGATGGTTTGGCTGTGTTGGCCTTCTTTGTCAAGGTAGGCAGTGAAATTTTCAACTGCCCCTCTCAAATCTCGGCCAGCAGTTTGGCTGAGGGATTGTTCATATCCATATTTTATGTCAATATTACAGTAGCCCAAGACTTTAATCTCCCTGTCTTCTGCAGGCATTCTGCCAGCACTGAGTTCCTCTACCTTTTTCTACATCCTGCTCGCTGTTATTTTTCCTGGTGGCCCTTTTCTGTTTTATTCACCACTGATTAAAAGCAACCACTTGTAGAGAAATACACGATGTGGAATAAAAATATTTCCCTTTCAGGCTGACGAAGAAAATAGAAACTATACAACTCTACTGAATCGTTTAGAAGCTCTCAAATACAAAGGTAAGACGCTCGTGCCAGGGATTTCACAAGCTGTGTGGGGTGAGGATAAAACCTGCAGCCACAAGCATCACAAGGGATTTTCCCCTGTGGTTTTTCCAGGGGACTCAGCAGAGCTGGATCCTTTACCACTGATGTCTCTTCTCCCACCTGAGGAGGACCTTGGGAGGTACTATCGCTATGAGGGCTCCCTCACCACCCCTGACTGCTATGAAGGTGTCACCTGGACCATATTTGAGAAGCCAGTTGAGCTCAGCCTGCGCCAGGTGAGTGGCACAGGGACAGCCTGGAGGTGCCATGTCCCTGTGCCTGCCTGCAGGGTGACACCTCAGCTGCCTCCTTCCCCACACACCCTCACTTGGCAGCAGCCTACACCTGCTCCTATTAAATCATCTCTCAGAAAATGGCAGGAAAGGGGCAGGAAGGGGAAATGACGGCGTGAGGAGAAAGCCAAGAAACCCCCCCCCCCACCAAGCTCAGCGCTTCGGCAGCAGCACTTCCACTGCTGCCACCTGCCCAGCCCCAAATTCCACAGCTTTTCTCCCGTTGGCAGGACAGCAGAACACAACAATTCCAAACCCAAACCTTGTGCCCATCAGCACCAGCCCTGCAGGCGGGAGGAGGAGATGGAATTAGGGATGCTTGGGAAGCACAGCCTGGCCCGGAGCCAACACGTGCATTTCAGCTCCGTGCTCCCAGTGCTCCCAGCACAGCCCAGTGTCACACAGAGCACCGGGAATCTGAGCAAGGACAGAATTCCTGCTGCTCCTGCCCCGTGTCACCGGCGCCGTGTGCGTCAGGAGCTCGGGGGGAACCAGTCCTTGGGCTGCACAGAGCATTTGGCTGCCGGGCAAAGGAAGTGCCCGTGATTTCCAAGGCTGCAAGGAGCCATCACTTGGTGACCTCTCCAGTGGCCTCTGTCACGGCTTTTCCTGTGAGCTTTAAGGCATCCATTCAACCTTCAGGTTCAAACCCAGAGCGAGGCAGCGCCGGTTTGCAACCCAAAAACCCCCCAAAATCTTCCGGCAAAAATAACCTTTAACGCCCTTGTTGTGTTTTGCAGCTTTCCAAGTTTGCAACACTGCACTTTGATTCCACGAACTCCAGTGCCATGACGGAGAATTTCCGGCCAGCCCAGCCCCTGAACGGGCGCACGGTGCTCTGGTCAGGGGCCAGCATCGCCCTGCCCGTGGCCAAGCTGCTGCTGCTGCTGCCCCTGGCTCTGAGCTGCACCCTCAGCTCCCTGTGCCACTGAGCCTCTCCCACCCCATCAGCATCCTGCTCCTTTATTTCTTGTTATTTTTTGCTGTTCTTTGTCTCAGCCTCTCATGGATTGTGTCCCAATATAGAATAGCCTTGTGCTCCTCCAGATATGAACCAAGGGTTTCTGTGCTGCTCTGGTGGAAGCCAAACCACCAGAACTCAGAGGCACTGGGAGATAAAGCAATGACAATTCAATTTTAAAGCCAATACACTTAGAGAAATTGGACTATCTGTAGTTCTAAGCCAGCACTGGAAGGAGCTGCACAGAGACCCTTGGAGAGGAATCTGTTCTTAAGTGCCTGTGAGGGGGTTGGTTTGGAGCATGTTTACATTCAACACTGCAAATCTGGCAGGGAAATGTGGAGTCAATCCCACATTGTCCTACCTGAAGGTACAACACAGAGCAGAGATAAAACCTCACACACAGCCCAGCAGCATCTGGCTCATCCCCTTAGGGAAGGGCACTCACCCAACACAGAAATCCCTCTCCTTCCTCCCGAATGTCTCAGTTGATTTCAGATAAGGACACTGGATCCCTTCCACCCATCTCCTGCTGGGGGCTATGGGGTTCCTCTGTTATTTATTCATCCTTCTCTGGGATGCCATGGCCAATGTGATGTGCTGGGAGGCTCATCCCCACGGACCAGAGGCACATCTGTGGAAATTCCTTCTCTTTGGAGGGCTCCTTTTGAAGCAGGAGACTCTGACGATCCCTTGCAGTTGTGATTCGCCTGATAAAATAGGACAGCTCAAGAAATAGCTCTTTCTTATATATAAATATATATAATTATATATATATATTTCTTTTATACATGTAATTTTGTATAGTAGCATATCTGGAATATTCACATATGGTCAAGATTCATAGGTTTTTTTTTCCACAGAGATTGTGGTTTGAACCAATTCCTTCAGTTCTTACCCAATTACTTATAGAAAATACATTGGGAAATGGGGTTTCCTTTTATTATTCCAGTTCTCTCTCTGAAGAGGGTCATAACATTTCTCTTTGGTTAGTGCCATATAGCATTTTACAGCTTCTTTTAGGATTTTAGATTTTGGCCACACCAAAATAGGATTTCATATTAGCAGATTTGTATTTTTTTCCTTTAAGGGCAATGTTTGCAGAGATGACTTTATATATTTTCAGAAAAATCCTGGCAGTGAGAAGAACCACAGCTCACCAAAGGGAAGGTGAAATTATTTTCATATTAATCAATTAGTAAAGCTTTAAAAATATATATATGGGAAAACAAATGAACCTATTTAAGTTTAAAGGAAAGATTAATACTTTAACTGTATTTTTTGTAAAAACTGAAAACCTTTGGAGGAGCAAGAAGAAATTAAATATTAAAGGTGAACAACAGACCTGTATTTGAATTGTTCTGAGTTTTTATTTCTTTTGTCCTTGCTGAAGGGGAATCCAAAAACTCCTTCAGAAGAGGAATGTGACTTCCCCCCCTCCCCACGTTTTGTTCACAATATTTAGGGTTGGGTTTAGGGCTGGGTTTGCATTTTTTGGGATTTGCAATGCCCTGGGATGTTTATACTGTCAGCAGAGTTCTGGGGCTCTATTTCACAGGATTCTCTGCACTCAGCAGATTCCTGGAGTCGGGCACCTTGCCCAGGTGTGCAGAGCTGGTGCCCAGCCCCACTCAGCTCCTGTTTGAAAAAGCAGTGATGGGAACACTCCTTGGGATACCTGAGAAAAGCCATTTGCACCGACCAAGGTGTGCAAGAGCCACCATCCCTCTCCTGCAGATTATTTCCTCAATTCTCATTCCACAGTCAGCTCTCTAAGGGATGATTGGAATAAACCCTGCAGAATCTGGCTCAGCTGTCATTTATTGCTAATAATAAAGATAAATCACAGGGCACAGCCACTAATTACAACGTGGGAGCATCTTATTTACTATGAAACAGATTTAAACAGAACTAAAAGGAAGGAAAGAGGATGAGTCTTCTCTAAGAGCTCTTCAGCACCAACCCCAGTGTGAATGAAATCTCCCTTTTATAATAAAATAAAATAAAAAGTAAAATCCTGGAGAAGGATCAGTGTTTTTACTGAGTGGCTCAGTGCTGTGGCAATAAGGAAAAGGGAAATGTTCCATCTGCTCCAGTCACAGGGATTGAGACCAGTCTGTCCTCTGCCCCTCTTTGCAGCCAGGTTCTGCTCTGGGGCAGGAGGCGACAGGGACAGGACCAGCATTGCTGCAGGGAACAAACAATAAACCCCAGCAAAAGCTGTTCCCAGGAAAAATCAGGGAAAGACAAGAAGGCTTCCAATGGAACATGTGATTTGCTTTGTGAGGATGGTTATGGAAAAGCAATTTGCTGTTCCACAGGTAACTCGAGGTGCTGGTTTTCAGGAGTTTTGTCTCGGCTACGTTTGGCATGAAATTCTTTTATTGTGAAGACACCAGGAAATGACAGTCACTCCTGAAGGACAAATACCCAAGGCATGATACAGGAAAGGGTGGGGGAAGGAACAGAAGCATTTGGAAGGATCCAGTAAGAACATTATTTTCCCATGTCCAGGAGGGCTAGCACAGAACTGTACTGATACATTTCACATATGGTGGAGCCAGAGCTGATGACTGTGGGGCTGAAAGCTGCAGTCCCAGAGGAAAATGGAATAACACTTGCAATTAAAACTGGGGTTAAAACAAATAGAATAAACAGGGGGTTGTGCAGCCCATCCAAAAGCAATCCTTTCCCTGCTTTGGGCTGCACCTTGGTTTGAGAGCAGCCTCTGGAGGTGTGAGAGGTGATGGCACTGCTCCTTCCCAGTCATCAGGGGAGCAGGGGGTGACAGCAGGGGCAGGCACAAAAAAAATTCCTAATACAATGTGTGTTCAGCAAAACATTTTTCTCAGGAAGCACGAAGAGACAAAGAAACCAAACCATTACTCACAAGAAATATATTTACATTACCCACAAAGAATTCTGACAGATTTGGCAATTCCACTTACAGCCAGCTCCTCCAGTGATAAAACAGCATCTCAAAGTGCACTTGTCTGGTCAAAATTAATTTTCTGTGACTGCTGGGAGAGAAGGATAAAGGTTTTTCCTTTGCCCTTTCCTTCCTCACCCACCCAGATGTAGATTCCACAGGGAAAGCAGCACTTGCCAGCACCGTCCCTGTTAAAAAGATGTCACACAGAAAATCCATGTAAAAAATCCATTCATCCACCTGCAGTTAAAAAAAAAAATAAAAAGGATACAGAGAAGCCTATCAAACCTCCCAGGCTGGTGCTAGAGTTTAATAAGTTTAATAAATACCAGGTGTAACATCAACCCCCTCTGCTCCAGGGACAGGGATCCCATTGCCCAGGAGCAACACCCCAAAAATCACAGCTGGACTTCATGAGCTTAAAGGTCTCTGTTATTCTATAAATGATTCTATGAAAAATTATTACTCTTGGAGATGGGAGGCTCTTTTTGATAGAGTTAAAAGTAGACTTGGTGATTTTCTTCCACGAAGCACTAAAATGAGATGGATTTTAAAAACTTTGCAATGACAGAAAAACAAATTACTTAGGAACTGAAGTGGCTGTGGAAAATACTTTGTGTGGGAGAAAATCATATGTAAATTGGATTTTAAAAGAAAGGAAATGTAGGATTTACTGGTAAATCATATGTACCTGTGGAAAAGGCAATGAAACCCCAGCTGGAAGCACAGCAGGGCCACAGTGACCTCAGCCAGGACATTTTTCCTTCCTGATCTCCTCCAAACTCCTCCTGAACAGACACAGCTCCTTCAAGACAACTGCTGAGAATGGGAACATGCAGTTTTCATTATGAGGTTTAAATGCATTTCCTAAAAATAACCTGCTGTTTGGGGCTTTTAGTATCAGAAATAAATCCATATACACCGCTAAAAGCTGATTATAATTAGTCACACAAGTAAAATTATGAGTGTAATTAACTACAGCAATTAATTGAAATGCCTTTCGCACATTATTTCCCTTCTTGCAGTTGAATGCAATTTGCATTTAAAGTTATATCATAAAGAATATAAGTTGGTAATCAATTTGGGTTATTTTATTACCTTTTACCTATTAATATCTTCTGAAGGGATTTAGACATCCAGTACCCATATACAGTTTGATGTAAAGGAAACCCAAACAGCTGACAATGTTTTGATGGATTTTGTTTCCCCATTATCCACTCCAAGCCATCTAAACCTTTCCCTGCCCTTGGTTTTTATTGCCTCACAAGAATAGATTGGTTTCTGTTGAGTGGAATCACCTTTAGAATGTCACCACCCTTCCCCTCCCCAGCTCACCTGGGCTGCTCCCTGTTCCCAGCACACCAAGAGATCTTGATGGATGAGTTTGCAGATTGGGGGTGGTTATGAAGAATTTATGAGAGGAAAAGAAAGGCACAGAAGTTTTACATTTTGCTGATTGTGCTGATGTCGAGATTAAACTCTAAATAAATCATAGACAATCCCTAGCAAGAGTGCAGTATCTTTGTAATCACTGGAGTTTGTGGTACACGAAGCTCTCAGCTTTACACAAAATGCTTTTCTTATAGGCAGTAAAACATAATGGTTCGTGTCCTGGAGCCCAGCAGCTACTGGAAACAGAAGAATAATCCTGGTAGAGCAGCAGGGACCTCCCTGAGGAAAACAAAAGGAGTTTAAATCTTAAAAGAGGAGGATAAAGACAAAAAAAAAAAAACAACTGTGGAGGTGCTGAAGCTTCTCCAGCCCTGCCGGCCGAGGCCCTCTGTGACTGAGGATGCCCCAGTTATGTGCAGCCTTTCCTGCCAAACTGAGAAAAGGAGAATTCACCACTCATTTCCACTCATTTCCACTCATTTCCACTCATTTCCACTCATTTCCACTCATTTCTATCTCCTTAGGGGATTTAAAGGTCCAAATCATTGCTACAGCTCCAACATTTTGGGGACTTGGAGCTGGGGCAATCCCAGGAATGTGGACAGAGCTCAATCCAAGGAGCAGGTTGGGAGCAGAAAAGCTGCCAAGGCTCCGTTTACTCTAAGTATTTTATAACCCTGTTTTTAAAGCATTTAATTATTTTTTTTTTTATTTCGATTGGCAGGAACACGGTGTTTTATCAAGCCCTGCAAGGAGGGCTCTGGGCTCACTCACATCAACGGGTTCCTGTTGTCCCCTCACTCGTGTGGCACTGCCAGGCCATAAACGGGAAGTTGGGGTTTATGATCCCACAGATATGAGAGCACATGTGATGGAACCAGATGGGTTTAGTCCAAAATAAAAAAAAAAAAAAAAAAAAAGAAAAAAGCCCATTAAAGCTCATAAAGCACAAAGCCTCCGATTAGTTTTAAAATGCGCTGCAATTCCCGCTGAGGCCGCGGGGAGTGAGGCCTGGTGGGAGCACGGGCCATGCGCAGGCCGCGATTTACAAATGCCTCGGGTAAAAGTGATTAAAAAGCAAAATCCCGCCTGTGTGTTCCTTAACGAGCACTAAATGATCTCAGGAAGGATTCAGCTTCAAGAAAGAGGCGTCATTTTTGGTGAAGGGGTTCCCAGAAGGGCTGTAGGACACGAGGATTCACAGAAACACCTCACAGAGTTCAGTTCGTTTCCAGAAGGGAACCACAAGATGGATCAGATGGAATTCATTTCCTATCCTCTCATCCCTTGCTCCTTTTTTTCCCCCCCCTTTTGTTTAAAAAAAGAATCCCCACAAATGACAGCGAAATTCAGCTTTAACAGCTGCTCATAGGAGAAAACCAGGGATGCAACACAGGCTGGAATGCAGACAGGAAAAAGCCAGGCACATGAGGAAACTGCAAATTTTTTTTTTTTTTTATTTCAGAACATTGAAGTTGTCATTAGATAGAAACAGCGATGTTCTGATAAAAACCCCTCAATTTTCTACCAAAAGAAATAAAATCCCAGATAGGGCACAGCAGCACTGCAGAAATTAAAGAGATTACAAGTGACCTGCTCACAACATACTCAGCTTTTGGTGTTGCAGACATTTGGGGAATCCTAAACTGTAAAATTACTGGAAAGTTTTTGGTAGAGTTCACAAGGGATTGTCAGCATCAGCCAGGGAGCTCCAGCAGGGATTGTGCAGAGAAATTATTGTGCTAAAGGCAGCTGAGAGGGGTGGAAGGGCTGGGAATGGTGCAGGGTTTTATCCAGCTGACAGGACAGCACAGCCAGCCAAAATAAATCTGGCCCCTCTCTTCCTCAAATGCCTTCCTTTGGAGTAATCTTTTATTTTAAGCAAAATACACAAACAAAAGAAAATAGTGTCAGTTTTACTATTGTACACATGAATCAAAAATATCCACTATAATCATCACCAAAATAAATTATTGTCCCGGTTTGAAATGGTGGGAAACTGCAGTTTTCCTTTCATTCAAGTGGAGGA